TTTCAAGTCCAATAATGCTTTCTGAAATAAGATTGTTGAAAAAGGGATCTCTGTTAACAGTGCAAAGAGCATTTTGATAGAAATTCATGTTTACAAAGAAGTTAAATGATACAGGTGTTCCTTACACCAGCAGATGCTGTCCTTGCCCTAAAAAGGGAGAAATACCTAGCTAGCCACAGTAGCTAATATGGGTCAGTCAAAAATATGTGTAGGAGTCCTACAGGGCATCTTGTATAAGTCAATTCCTAAAGTATATGTATTTGACACTCTCCAAGTGAGGATATTACTTTTTTTGCATACATTTTTTTTTTTTTTAGGTACCGGGGATCGAACTTGGGTCCTTGTGCTTGCGCAGCAGGTGGCGAAACCACTGAGCTAAATCCCTGGCCTGGATATTACTTTTTTTGAAGAACATCAGACACATCACTAGGTCTCTTATTCCATGAACTATTGAGGTAGGAGTCTCCATTTGTCTCATTTTCACAGATTACATCATAAAGTCAAATGCAAGTACCAAACACAACAGTAATCCACAAGACTGAACCATTACACTTTGTACTGAGTCTTTCCTTCTGTAGACAAGCAACATTGGGAATTCTTTGTGCATTCTGACATAACTAAAACAAGCAAAAAAAGCTTAGATATCTTGTAGACATGTTTGTAAATAAATATCACAAATTTTAATTATGCCTTTATGTTTTAAGAAGCTTTGCAACTATTAAAAAAATAAATAGAGGGCCGGGGATTTAGCTCAGTGGTTCTGGCACCTGCCTCGCAAGCGCAAGGACCAGAGTTCGATCCCCGGTACCAAAAAAAAAACTAGTGCAATCATTAGTCATAAAATAGTACTGTGGATATTGAAATGTGTTCCTACATCTACAACAAAAGCTGTGACCTTAGAAAAGGAAATGACTGTTGTTTCTTACTATCAATCAGCAACAGAAGGAAGAAAAAGAAAACACGTCTTTAAGAAACGACATGCAGTTTAATTACGGTAAAATAGTGTTAGTAGATATTTTCTCCACTAACTCAAGGACAAGAGTGATCACGGGAAGCATGTGTCACACCTTCTGATATTTGTGTGTTATGAAAAAGTTGAAAATACAGGAAAGCTCATTAAGTGAACATCCCTTAAACAACAGTTATAGGTTTTAACATGTTACATGTCTTAAATATTACCAAAAGTTAGTTTAATTTATGAAAAATAAACCACTGCTGAATTTAAAAATAAAAAAAAGAAAAACAACATTATGATGGAAAAAACCCATTTAGTATGCATCATTTAGTATCTTAAATAAAAGACTATTCAAAGAAACAGGCTATGTAACCCATGACTTCCTGGTCACGAATGCTTTCTGTTAAATGCTTACATGTAATGAACAATACAAACATGTGTGCAGATTGGACTTCCAAGAAGTATGAGTGTTTTTAGAGTATGTCACTGACCAAATTGCTTCATCAGCTGGAATTTAGAAACTAAAAGTTAGTAAAGGATGACTTAGAATGTCTAGCTAGTTCAGATTTTCACTTGGCTTTAAAATATTAAGTTTCAGAAGAACCATAAAAGTTTTATTTTAATCACGTTTACCCAAAAAAGTGATTCAAAACATGAAAACGGGCTTTCCTGGGGTTAAATACATCAAAATGACATAGGCACTTCCAATTCATGCATCACTCTCTGAGACACAGTGCAACTGGAAATGTTTTTGCCATCACAGTGGATATTTCTAAAAGCCAATGCTTAGGGATGCTCCTGAACCTTAAAAATAAAAAGAAGTAACAGCACAGAGTTTTCTAAGGATGGCTGTGTTTCCGCACACTGCAGAAAGACAAGAAAAACAGCCTTCTAGAGTTTCAATCTGCATTGTAAAATGGATTTCATCTCCCTCAGCTTGCTTGCTGACTTCTCAGACCTCTTGATCAGCAGCCTATTTTCACTGATTCTTTGCTAACTGCTGTTGGTACTCTGCAGGCTTACACATTTAAACTTCTGTAAAGAACACTGCAAGCTATTTCATGTAATTTAAGTTTGTGCTGAATGTTCTTCAAAGGATTTTATAACTAATACAATATTTTAAATGAGTCTTCAAATTCACTTGTTGTTATACCATATTGTTGCTTTCTCCAACTTTATCTACAAATGATCTGATTCCAGGTAAATTTAAGAGGGATCCAAGGACCAGCGCTCTTCTAATAAAGCCAACAACCACAGGAAAGATGCCCCCGAACAAGAGAAAGAATCCATAAATTTCTAAGATCATGCCTATCAAAGGCCAACCAATAAGGACTACAAATACACCACCCAGAAAAAATCCTTCTGTAGCTTTCATTGTATGTTTTTGGAAGAAGAATCTGAATTTTCTTTCTAAACCAATTACAGAAGTCAAGCCAGCCACAAATAAAACATTTCCAGTAGCCAGTAGTGCTTTGTCAAAAAAGAGAATCACAGGCAGGGGATTTAGCTCAGTGGTTTTGCCGCCTGCTGCACAAGCACAAGGACCCGAGTTCGATCCCCGGTATGAAAAAATAAAAATAAATAAAAAAATAGAATTGACCTGAAAGTAAAAAAACAAAAAACAAAAAACAATTGATGAACACACAGAAAGATGAATGCACTCTTTAAAGAATGACCTCTTTGCACTGTCCTCTACCACTATCAAGTTATCTCTTTTTCCTTTGGAGAATACAGTAAATCATCTTCATGTTATATTAAAAAAAACAAACTAAAGGATGGTGCAATTGTGACTCATTTCATTATTATATCCTTTTAGGCAATCCCATCCTTTTTCTTAATACTTTACCTAATTATCCTCCAAAGGCCTCACTTCTTTTTAAAAATTTTTCCATGTATGCCAAGCAAGCACTCTACCATTGGGCTACATCCCCAACCCTAGCTCCACCTGCTTTAGAACAACTTCTTGCAGGTTAGAATTTCAACCTATGAGTTCTTGAAGGACACAAATACTCAGACCAGAGCAATATTGATAAGACCCAAGACAGCAAGCTTGCCCCTTCTACTATCCAAAGACAGCTACAAGGTCCTCTGCAGACACTTAATTATCTGGCATCTCTATCTTGGAATTCCTCAGTGTGCAGGACAGTGAGAAGTAAATTTTTGCTACTTATAAGTTATCCTGTTTATAGTATTTTGTTATAACAGCCTGAATAGACTAAGATACATGTCTATTTACCCTACTCATTCTGGGATGATCTCCTCTTTCTCCTTTTCCTTCTTCTTCCCCCTCCTCCTTCTCTTCCTCTTCTCCTCCCCCCCCCTTCTTCCTCTGGTCTTTCTCCTTCTTTTTGGGGGGGCTTTTTTATTGGTACTGGGGATCAAACTCGGGTCCTTCCGCTTGCGAGGCAGGAGCCGGAACCACTGAGCTAAATCCCCGGCCAGTCTTTCTCCTTCTTTTTATGAATGTCCTTATTCTACCTTTAAAACATTGCCAATTGCTATTTACATGTAGTCAAGAATCTCTCTTTTTTTGGTACCGGGGATCCAACTCGGGACCTTGTGCTTGCTTGAGAGGCAGGCGCCAGAACCACTGAGCTAAATCCCTGGCCAAGAATCCTTCTTAAGGGAGCTCCCCGAACCCACTTTATTTGCAGGTGTGCACTAAATTTTTGCTTTTGATTTTCATTCCTTTTTTAGGGTTTTAAATTTGACAACCAAACTCTTTCTCTTCCACTTTCCAAAACACTCAGCATACACACTATACAAAGGGAAATAAATGTATATTTGGTGCTATCTTCTCATGAATATAAACTTTGAAGAAAGGATTTTATCTTTTTCGAGTCCATAGAATACCTCTTTTGGTACTGGGAATCGAACTCAGGGCCTTGAGATTGCCAGGGAGTCCATAAAATACTGATGGGGTAAACTGTGCAGGATTTGAGGTGTGGTCATACTTCTAATTAATTCTGTGAGCATCTCCTCCCTGAAAGGAGGCCTTTTGAGACCATGAAATTGAATGTTTTTTCAACCTGTTAAGGTCCCATTTTCCTCAGTTCTTTTCTTGGAAAGAGAAGCAGTAAATTTACATCCAGAGCAATCAGTCAAAGGTGGAGACAGGGTGACAGAGGTAGTGGAGGAAAAGAGAGACTGACTAGTAATAGTGTGTAAATTCTTCCAGGCCAGAGTCTTTGAGTTATTTTGCTTACGTCACATTATCAGCATTTTAAACTGCTGTCTGGTACATAGCAGGTGTTCAGTAAATATTTCTTGCACTGAGTGAAAGAAGTAACTTCACACTTTTTTTTTTTCCAGAGATGTAGTTTGTGGTTTTAGGACTCAGCAAGGTCCTAGATGTTCTAGGGAACTCATCCATTTCTCTCTGCAAGCTGAGGAGTGTTTTAATTTTTCGGTAGTGGGGATTGAACCTGGGGCCTTTGCATCGAGCTACATCTCCAGTACTTTTAAACTTTATTTTGAGACAGGGTCTCTCTAAGTTGCTAAATTGGCCAGGCTGGGCTGGAATTTGCCATCGTCCAGCTTCAGCCTCCCAGGATGCTGGGATTACGGGCGTGCATCGCCGCGGGTGGCTCTGGGCGTCTCAGGGCCAGCTGCAGTTCTCCAGCCTTTCTGCGACTGCAGGAGCGGGACTCGGTGCTTTCAGAGAGGAAAGTGTCCTACAGCGCCGCCGCCTCGCTCCCAGGCCAGGGTGGTTCGTCTGTTTTGGCCCCCTGGCTGCGACGCGGCCTCCAGTCCCTCTTTCCCCCTCTAGTTCCCTCCACGGCTCCCTACTCTCGCACACTACTTCCACACCCTCGCCTCCCGCGGCCCCGCCCCCGGCCTCCCCGCGGCCCCGCCCCCGGCCCCCCCCGCGGCCCCGCCCCGTTTCCGACAGGTCCTCCCCCTCAGCCCGCCCCTTACTAGCTCGAGGCCCCGCCCTTTGCCCCCAGTGTCCCCGCCCCCCTGTTCCCCGAAGCCCCGCCCTTTGCCCCGGGGCCGCTGCCACTCTGATCCGTGGCCCCGCCCTTTGTCCCCCGGGGCTCCGCCCCTCGCCTCCCCTTGACGTGGCAAAGGCGGCACCAGCCGGGCCGGCCTGGCCGAGGTCCTCGCGGAGGCCGGAGGCGGGGCGGCGCCGGCCCGGATTGCGGTGCCACGGCTGCTCCTGCTCGGTAGAGCGGACTGACTTCGCCGGGCGGAGGCTGCGGCTGGCTCGGATCTCGTCGTAGGGCGCTGGTAAGGGCCCACTTCGCGGCCATCTGCTCTCCGCTGCCCGGGGCCGCGGCGCCCAGCGTGGAGCCAGGGCTGGCGGCGGCGGCCTGGGGCCCGGGTCTGGTGGTCCCGGCCCTGCCCTGACGCCGCCTGCGGCGGGCGAGGCGCGCAGGAGGCTCGGCCCGGGCGCCCGGAGCCCGGAATCTGTCACCCCGGCCCGCCTCGCCCTCCTTCGCTGTCCCGGCCCGGCTCCCGGCGCCCGCTTCGGGTGGAAACTGAGAGACGGCGTGAACGGGCCCGGTGCCCACACCACCCGGGACCCAACCGGGACCCTCCCTCCCTCCCTCCCTGCCCAGCCCGCGCTCGGGCGCTGGTGCTGCTCGGTTCACCCCTTGCCGTATCTCAGGTGCCCTAGACTTTGAACCGAGCTGACTTCATCACCGACTGTCGGCCGTTGGGGTTACAGAGGTGAAGGGGAAAGTTAATGCCCTGGGCCTTGGTTACTGATCGAGCTCAGTTTTCAGACCAAGACTGATCCTATACCGTTGAGCTTCCGTTCTGCTAGTAGTGTTTGCCCCTTCTCGGGTAAGGAAAAGTCACAGAAGTTATAGTGAATCCACATGTATCACTGGGGAAGAGATGTTGAATTCACGTTCTCACATGAACTTCCTTAACCTCTACCTCACAAAAACCACGGGTAATTAGCCAAGTTAATTTCAAAAACGTTTTTGATTTAAATATAAATGCATGTTAAATCTCCTATCTTCAGTAGTATCGTTAACATCATTTCAGAAAACCATCCATTTTAAGCTGACAGGAAATGTTAGAGTTAGATGGGACCCTGTAGTTTTATAGCCCAAATCCCTCATTTTACTGATGAGAAAATCGAGAATAAGGGAGATTAGGCTGTTTTCCAAAATCATAAAGCTACTCCTTAGTCCACCTCATTGAGGATTTTACCGCTGAGAAGTAGGAGAGGCACATTTAACTGTCTAGCAATAAATGCATCTGATTGAAAGGAATTCTAATTTTACTTGCAGTTTTGTGTGTTTTTCAATTGAGTACGTTTAAAAGGGCTAAAATTGGAATAGTGAAAAACTAATTTAAAGGGAATTCCTTTTAAAATGCTCTGGGCAAATATTTAAAGTGACATATTGCTTTGCTTCTAGGTTGCATTGAAAATGGAGCATTTCTTTAAAATGTTCTTTTATTTTTTTTTTAAAAAAGATCAGCTTGTTAAGTGTGCGTTCTAATATAGTATGAATAATATTTATTTGGTTTTATGCTTTTATGTGAGCATGTTAATTTTAGGGGATAGAGTGCTTGTCAGATAATGACATTTTATATAAAACTAGCTTTTAGAAGGACATTTGGACTTGAATTAATGATTTTAACCTTGAGCAGTTCCTACTTTTGAAAGGTGAGGGAAGAAAAGGAGATGTGGATGGCTGTGCAGTTGGACCAATTAAGAAAAAAACAAGGGGGACTTTCATCAAACTGTTGCTGGGAGTTAAGAATGTAAGAAACATAGTGGATGTGATTTACTGAGCATAGGCTATTAGTGCAGAATGATTGAGAGAAAAAAATGTGAGAATTGTGCTCTACTGTTATTCAGGTGATGTTGTCCTAAAAAGTACGAATGTGGGATTATAATCCAGCCTGCTATTTGTTGTAGAAACCTAAACCAGGCTGTTGACTGTAGGTAAATATCTTCCTGCTAAGGCTCCTAGAGCTTTTCTCAGTGAGGTTCCCCAGCCATCTTGGGGCTTTGGTTCACAGGATCCCTTTATAATCTTCAATATTATTTGAGGATCTAAAGGAAAAAACAGCTGTTTTAATAGAAGGTAGGTTTTCATGACTACTTCTGCAGTCTGTTGAAATATGCTGTATGAAGGAAATTTGGCTTTATATAGAAACATAGTTGGAAAAGGAAGAGATTTAACAATAGCTTCTTCAGATAATTATGCATATTCTTGTTTGATATCACACCAAATCCCAGTAGTTTTAATTAAGACATTAAAGGTTAATTCCAGTGTGGGATCTGAAACCTTAGAAGCGAATATTTTGAATTCATATTAAAGCCCATTGATTATTCTCCACTTTGAATGGTTTATCTACCATATATGATATTGTAGGATCATAAATTGACCATTTGGGAGATTTTGCTTCACTGAATATGTGTGTATTCTAAATCCTCAAGTTTCATTATACAATGTCAAAAACCACATTAATTCAATCACTGCTCTCATCAGGAGAATCTTTACATATTAGGAAGGTATCAAGCTCTTGTATAGATACAAGATTGTAAAAACTTTAATATTTGCTTTGAAGATCAAATTTTATTAGTAGCAACAAATATTGTTGTTTTCCTTGAAGTAATGTGGCATTTGAGAAAATGTGTGAAGTACTTCTTATATATTGTCTTTGGGAGAATGGAGAAAGTAGTGACTCAAAACATTTTTTGTGTTTAGTGTTTCAGTGAACAACCACGATTGGTCTAGTGTGTTTTAGTGGGTATTTTAATGCTTTTTGGAGATAATGTTTTAGATTATAGGTGCAATTATAAGTGCAGAGAATTTGATTTGCTTTTTTGTTCAGGAGTAATAATGGGAGGGATCACATAGTCCTAGAATTTATAGTCACATTTGCAACATGAAAGCTGTTTGTTAAAACTAGATATTTTTCCTCTCTGAGGGAAGTTGTCATTTTTCTTATTGTTGCTTCTTATTTTATTTTTTTTGGTGAAACGGGTTTGAACCCAGGGCCTTTACACTGAGCTAAGTCCCTAAACCTTTTCCTTTTTTCTTTTTTGTTGAGACAGAGTGTCGCTAAGTTGTCCATGGTGGCCTCCAACTTGGAACTCCCCGGCCTCAGTGTACCCTGGAGCTGGGACCAGACCTTTGTTTGGTCGTTATCATCCAGCAGTCACTTTTTCTTGAAAACCCATACTCCTATATTTACACTATAGTTTAGTCTTATCTTAGGATTTTTCTCTAGCCATTATACACCTGTGAAATACACATGCTCATTTGGTTGGTTTTTTTTTTTTTTTTTGGTACCCTGGATCGAACTCAGGTCCTTGCACTTGCAAGGCAGGCGGCGGAACCACTGAGCTAAATCCCCGGCAACATGCTCATTTGATTAGTGCAACAGTCTCTGGTTGTCTGTGGCATTCTGGCATGATAGAAATAAGGCAGTTTTTCTTTTATATTTTTCTTATTTCTTTTAAAGAAAAGAATGGAAAGTTGCTTAAAATACTTAGATTGTTAAGCTTCTTTTATTGTAATTTGTATATCAACATCTATTTGAAAGTTTTTCTAAAATTAAAATTGTTTTACCTAAATTTGTATTTCCCCTTCCTTCATATTTTAGTTTCTTTCTCTTTTTTTATTTTTTATTTTTTGAGACAGGATCTGCTTTGTAGTGCAGGCTGGCGTTGAACTCACTGTTTAGCCCAGGTTGCCTCAAACTCCTGGCAATCCTCCTGCCTAAGCCTCCTGAATGCTGGGATTACAGGCATGTGCCTCCATGCTTGGCTCCTTAGTTTCTTGTCTCACTGTTTTTCTTAGCAACTTTAACATCCATGTTGGTTCTTCTGACATCCTAGGTTCACAATTCTTAAGCTCTTTTAACTTTGCCCTTCATTGCTGCCACATAGCACTTGAAACTCTTTATCCTCCTACACTTTTGGGTTCTTCAGCCTCCTTCCATGACTACCACTGTTGCAATTTGAGAGCCTGAGAGATAGAAGGATGCCTAGGTGGGAAAGCTGACATTCTAGGCAGGGAGTTAGTAACAAAATTGAGCTGTCCCTTAATGCTAGACCTTCCCTAGAGTGGCCTCCTCTTCCTCTGGTGATAAACTTAAATTATTATATTGGAATGATATATCTCAAATTAGAGTTTAAAATGTTCTCATAAGTTAGCATGTAAACATTTTCTTGTATTGTTTCTGCAGAAGAGGTTATATGATAGGTAAGTCACAGAATACCATGTAACAAGCATGTTGTTTACTGTGTCACAAATATCCTATATTTGCACAGTAAAAAGTTACTTGACTAGTGAATATATACCTAGTTTTAGGAAAATCATGTTTGTTATGTGCTATTAAATATTCTCTTACAGAAAGTTCATGGGAACTTAATCATTTCTGGTTAGAAACCATGTGAGTTTTAAGAGTTTATGATTTTGATATTTGTTTTGAGAATAGTGCAACTTACAAAGCTAATATTGAAAGCATAAGATCTAGGTTTATGCTGGGCATGGTGGTGCATGCCTGTAATCCTAGCACTGGGGAGGCTGAGGCGGGAGGGTTGCTGTGAATTTGAGGCCATCCTGGGCTACATAGTGGGTTCCAGGCCAGCCTGAACTATATAGCAAGACACTGTTTCAACTCCCACCAAAAAATAAAAGGATTTAGATTTACCATTCCTGCCCACTTTTGCCTTTTTTTCTCTATACACCTTTAAATAAATACCTGAGGACATTTGCTATTTTTTGCCATACTTTATACAAAAGTAAATAAAAAGTGTAAAATACTCTGCATTTGGCCTAATGAGGATTTGGGGTCTGAGTCATTATTTACTCATTATAAGTAGAGTTATTGTTGCTTGCTAATTGCTTTCTGAGATAAATATTTTGATTTGGTCATGATTTATAATGTGTTAGCATTGTTGAATTTGGGAAAACTTATTTTTAATCTTTTTAAGAGGATGCTAGATTTTAAAATATCTTTTGGTTTTGTTACAGAAGTAAGAATCAAGCTGTACAATGACAACCTATTTGGAATTCATCCAACAAAATGAAGAACGAGATGGAGTCCGATTTAGTTGGAACGTTTGGCCATCAAGTCGACTGGAAGCCACTAGAATGGTTGTTCCAGTGGCAGCCCTATTTACACCACTGAAAGAGAGACCTGACTTACCTCCCATTCAGTACGAACCTGTTCTGTGCAGTAGGACCACCTGCCGTGCAGTTTTGAATCCTTTATGGTAATTAACACAATGGGGACAAAACTAAAGTGGTGATACAATTGATTCAAAAGTGTAGTTTCTCCCTTAGTCATTCATATAAACATGCTTTTGTTTTTTAGTTAGTTTTAAAAATTAAAATAGTCAAATCCAAAAAGCTGTTAAGTTTTAGGATCATCCAGGTTGTAGTGAGCTGATAATATAAAAGAAACCAAATATAAAAGTGTCGCCATAAAGGGCAGTGGATTCTATTAGTGTTTTCTAGGCACTGGTGCTAAGTGTGTATCAACCCAGCTTTTATCATTAGTAAGGTCATGGTTAAGTGGCCGGTGTTTGAAGAATGTTAAGATTTCTTAAAGATTAAGCCAAGGCCAGGGTTTTAGCTCAGTGGTTTCAGCGCCTGCCTCGCAAGCGCAAGGTCCCGAGTTCGATCCCTGGTGCCAAAAAAAAAAAAAAAAAAAATAGGATACATGCTGTATAAGACAATTTCTCTAAAAATGCACTATTGGGGCTGGGGATTTAGCTCAGTGGTTCCGGCACCTGCCTCACAAGCGCAAGGTCCCGAGTTCAATCCCCGGTGCCAAAAAAAAAAAAAAGATTAAGCCAAAATCTTAGGAGTATTTTTTATTCCTCCTTCTGTTCCCTCTATCTGATTTGATAGCAAAGTGAATTAGACCTCAAGAATGTTATAGGTTCTGTGTTGTATACTCCACCTCCACTTATATCCTACTTACAAATAGCACTGTCTTTTTTTTGGAAATACAATTTTTTACTAACTAGATTCCCTGTTTTCATTCTTGTCTTTCAGCAGACTATTCTACCTAGAAGCTGTACTTTTATCAGTGGAAGTCAGATTATTAAAATCTTGTACTTGCATTTTATTACACTTGCAATGAAAAATCCAAACCCCTTATCAGGACCTGTAAGGCCCCGTGTGATCCAGCCTCTGTGTATCTCCCATCTTGTGTAATCTCTCTTCCTTATTTTTGTAATCTACATATCTTTTCCTCTTTTTGATCCTTGAATGTACCATGCTTATTCCTACCTTGGAACATGTGCAGTAGGAGTGCATCCTTCCTGGACTGCATTGCCTTTAGATTTTCCCATGACTATTTCCTTTCCATGCATGTCATACTTCGTTTCTCTACTTATAAGGCTTTCCTTTAACTTAGCTACCCATACACAGTCTCACATCCTGCTTTGTTTAATCTTTATTATCATTATCTAAAAGTATTTTTTGTGTACACATCTGCTTGTCTTTTCTTTTCTAAAATGTAAACTCCATGAAAGCAGCAACCTTTTCTTTCTTGTTTACTGCTGTATCACCAATACCAAAAATAAATTTTTTTTTTGAGACAACCTCTTGCTATGTTGCCCAGGCTGGTCTCAAACTCCTGGATTGAAGTAATCTTCCTGCCTGGCCTCTGGAGTAGCTGGTTTTATAGGCATGCCACTCTGCACCCACTTCATTCATTCATATATATATATATATATACTTTATTTTTGGTACCGGGGATCGAACTCGGGACCTTGCGCTTGCGCAGCAGGTGGCAGAACCACTGAGCTAAATCCCCAGCCCCACTTTATATATTTTTGAATTGAATAAATGTATTCTAGGTCTGTATGTAGATGTTGCTAATGTCATTTGAAGAAACACCTAAAATTATCTTAATTTTACTGTTGATTTTGGTATATATTATTTTATATTCACTAGGTGAACTTGTTTATGTTAAAAGTATGAATTAGATATTGGTAATACCTAAAAATACATTAACTTGAAATCACTTTGAATATCAGTTTGAATGTGTTCATAATTTAGAAGTTAATTTTATTGAAATTAGGATCCTTATTAAATTGAATTGAAATATAAACTACTTCATTTTGTCCTTTCTTGAAACAGTCAAGTGGATTATCGAGCAAAACTGTGGGCTTGCAACTTTTGTTATCAGAGGAATCAGGTAACTACCCCCACCCCCATTGCAGATGTTTATGCTATAATATTAGTCATATAGAAAAATATATATTTAAAAGTAATGATAAAATAATTAGCATTCACATAGTAAAATTATCTTTCTTAATTTGATGATCAAGAAGTAGGGGCTGGGGATGTAGCTCAGTGGCACAGCGCCTGCCTGGCAAGCATGAGGTCCTGAGTTCTATCCCTGATAACAAAAACAAAAAAGAAATAATTATTCTTAGTTTAAAAATTTATCAGTGGGGCCAGGGATTTAGCTCAGTGGTTCCGCTGCCTGCCTTGCAAGCACAAGGTCCTGAGTTTGATCCTCTGTACCAAAACCCCCCCCCCAACACAAAAAATTTTATTGCTGGGCCAGGGATTTAGCTCAGTGGTTCTGCTGCCTGCCTCGCAAGTGCAAGGCCCCGAGTTCGATCCTCAGTACCAAAAAAAAAAAAATTATTGCTGTTTTTGGCAAATAATTTGTTAAAAATTTTTGTGTTTTTCTTTCTGTAGTTTCCACCTACTTATGCTGGGATATCTGAACTGAATCAGCCTGCTGAACTTTTGCCTCAGTTTTCTAGCATTGAATATGTAGTTCTGGTAAGAACATTGGAGCAAATATTTAAGAAATTTAAATATTTAGTCAGTTTATACCAAAATAATTGCTTAGTTTAGCTGAATTACTAGGTGTCATCCATCACATGTTGAATTAGGATTCTGTTGTATGCACTGTTTAGTCTCTGACTCTTTTATATGCTATGCTGAAGTGTTAGTACCTTTAAAAAAACCTTATTTTTCTTATTGTGATTTTTTTTTTTAAAGCGTGGTCCTCAGATGCCTTTGATATTTCTCTATGTTGTTGATACTTGCATGGAAGATGATGATTTACAAGCCCTGAAAGAATCCATGCAGATGTCCTTAAGTCTCTTGCCACCTACGGCTTTGGTTGGACTTATTACTTTTGGGAGAATGGTGCAGGTTCATGAACTTGGATGTGAAGGCATTTCAAAAAGTTACGTCTTCAGAGGAACAAAGGATTTGTCTGCCAAACAACTGCAGGTAAATACGGTAGTTTTCTACCTGTCTATGACCATCACTTTATCTATGCTTATAAATGCCTTCTAGATGTATATTTCTGGAAAATAGAAAAATTATGAATGATAGAACTGTATTATAACAGAGGCTTTAAATTTAGTGTTGACCTTCATTTACTTTTGTGTGCCTTGAATTGTATATAAGATTGAAGACTATTTACTTTCAACTGTAGTTTTAAAATTTAAAGTGAAACTAAAGGTATTTTACTGAACCTTGGAGGGCTTACAGGAGAGTCATGCTGAAGGCTAAGAGAGAGCAACCATACAGTACATACTAGCTTTTGCTAATATATGACATCTCTCATTTAGGAACTAAACACTTTTAGTGTTTGGCAAGGGGAAATATTTTGTGATATGAGAGTTATTAATATATGAAAGTAATATTTTTAATGATGTTTGTCATTGGGGAAAACTGCAAGTTTTTTCTTCTAAGACAAGAGAGTCATTTGTAGCATAATAGGATCATCTGGAAATGTTTTAAAAATTTTTTTTTAAAGTTGGTGGCATATCCTTGTAATTCCAGCAAATATGCACTAATAAAAAATTGTTTTGTTACTAGTTGTGTAACCTTGGACAGATTACTTAGTTTTTCTGATTGTCAGTTGTTATTTGTAAGGTAGAAATTAAGAAATCTACTTATTATAATTTTTTGTGTAATACTATATATATAAAGAATTTAGCTCAGGATCTGGAGCATAGTTAAGTCTTTAGCAAAAAGTTGCTTGTTGCTATTCCTGATAGCAGTATAGGACATACTACAGGATTAATTAAAAACTTTTATCTGAAGATATTTAGCATTTCTGATTGTTTTGTATTTTCTACTATATTACTTCATGACTAAGCATTTCTGGGTTCAGGAAAGCCTTAGTAAAACAGTATTTTTGTGTCTAGGGAGTGATTTTAAAAATTCTAAACAAAGCTCGCGGTTTGGTTAGACATTAAGTTAGAAATTAAGACATACACATTGGGCCAGGGATTTAGTTCAGTGGTTGTGCCGTTTGCCTTGCAAGTGCAAGGTCCCAAGTTCTATCCCAACATACACTTTTACAAGGTATATATAGGTATATATGTAACTTATGGCTCTCCCTTCATATGATTTCATTTACCTTTCCTTCTTTCTTCTTCCTCTTTTTTTTTTTTTGGTACAGGGGATTGAACTCAGGACCTTTCGCTTGTGAAGCAGCCGCTGGAACCACTGAGCTAAATCCCCGGCCCCTTCTTCTTTTTTAAATTTATGTTTTGAGACAGGTCTTGCTGTGTAACTCAGGCTGGCCCCAAACTCCCAGTGATCCTTCTCCCTCAGCCTCCCAGGTACTGGGATTATAGGCGTGTGCCACCATGCCTGGTTTACAGTCTCTTACAGAAGAGACTCAGAATAGCAAAAGCAATCCTGAGTAACAAGAGCAAATGAGATGGCATTACAATCACAGATATAAAGTTATATTACAAAGTTACACTGTTAAAAACAGCATGGTTATTGTCAGAAAAACAAGATACTTGATTGGTGGAACACAATAGAGGATGCAGAAACAACCTGAGGCACATTCAACTGTCTGATTTTTTTTTGGGGGGGGGTACTGGGGATCGAACCCGGGTCCTTGCGGCGAAACCACTGAGTTAAATCCCCGGCCCCATCAAGTATCTGATATTTGACATGGGGAACAAAAACATTTGCTGGAGGAAAGATAATCCCTTTAATAAATGGTGTTGGGAAAACTGGCTAGACACATGCAGAAGGTTGAATCTAGACCCATTATCTTTCACCATGTACTAAAATAAAAATTGATCAAATATTTGAATATTAGAACCACTTAGTCTGCTGGAAGATAAAATAGGTAAAACTTTTTGAAAACAGGTATAGGCAAGGATTTTCTGAACCGGGCCCCAGTTGCACAAGAAATAACATTAAGAATCAACAAATGGAATTATATATTAAAAAGTTTCTGCACATCAAAGGAAACAACCAACAGACTGAAAAGATAATCTATAGAATGGAAAAAAAAATTTGCCAACTATTCCTTCAACAGAAAACTAGAATATGTAAATAACTCAATAAAAATTAGACCCTGTAAAATAAAATCAAATAATGGGTAATTGAAATGAATAGTTACTTCTCAGAAGAAGAACAAATGGTCAATAAATACATGGAAAAATGCTCAACATTTTACTGGCCATTGGGGACAGCAAATTGGAAACACTGAGATTTGATCTTACTATCATCAAAAGTCAAATAATAACATGGTGGCAAGACTGCAGGAAAAAGGAACTTTTTGGCATTGTTGATAACAATGTAAATTTGTATAACTATTGTGGAAATGAGTATGCAGTTTCCTCAAAAAACTAAAGATTACATTCTACCCAACTATTTACCTTCCAGGTATCTTCCTAGATAAAAGACATCATATTATAGTGATACATACATTCCCATGTTTATAGCAGCACAAATCATAATAGCTAAATCTTGGAAGTGGCCATGTGTCCATCAACAGATGAATGGATAATGAAAATGTTATATTTATACACAGTGGAGTACTACTGTGCTATAAAGAAGGATAGATTTGGATTTGAGTCATTTGTAGGAAAATGAATACACTTTGAGACCATAATGTTAAATGAAATAAATCAGACACACAAGCTAAAATATTGGATGGTTCCTCTTATATGGGAAACCCAAAATACAAACAAATCAAAGATGAAATAAAAGATAATAGGAAATAGGGAGATAAATATATATATTTTTTTGGTAGCAGGGATTGAACCCGGGTTCTTGCACTTGGGTAGCAGGTGGCGAAACCACTAAGCTAAATCCCTGGCCCAGGGAGATAAAATTTTTATAAATGGGAGATTGATCAAGAGATGGAGGGAGTGAAGGGGGAAGGGAAGGGAATATAAAAAGAATTAAAATGTTATGTACATGTACGTACTCCCCACAATGAATGTGATCATTATATATTGCAAATATGCACTAATAAAAAATTGTTTTGTTACTAGTTGTGTAACCTTGGACAGATTACTTAGTTTTTCTGATTGTCAGTTGTTGTTTGTAAGGTAGAAATTAAGAAATCTACTTATTATAATTTTTTGTGTAATACTATATATATAAAGAATTTAGCTCAGAATCTGGGGCATAGTTAAGTCTTTAGCAAAAAGTTGCTTGTTGCTATTCCTGATAGCAGTATAGGACATACTACAGGATTAATTAAAAACTTTTATCTGAAGATATTTAGCATTTCTGATTGTTTTGTATTTTCTACTATATTACTTCATGACTAAGCATTTCTGGGTTCAGGAAAGCCTTAGTAAAACAGTATTTTTGTGTCTAGAGAGTGATTTTAAAAATTCTAAACAAAGCTCGCAGTTTGGTTAGACATTAAGTTAGAAATTAAGACATACACATTGGGCCAGGGATTTAGTTCAGTGGTTGTGCCGTTTGCCTTGCAAGTGCAAGGTCTCAAGTTCTATCCCAACATACACTTTTACAAGGTATATATAGGTATATATGTAACTTATGGCTCTCCATTCATATGATTTCATTTACCTTTCCTTCTTTCTTCTTCCTCTTTTTTTTTTTTTTGGTACAGGGGATTGAACTCAGGACCTTTCGCTTGTGAAGCAGCCGCCGGAACCACTGAGCTAAATCCCCGGCCCCTTCTTCTTTTTTAAATTTATGTTTTGAGACAGGTCTTGCTGTGTAGCTCAGGCTGGCCCCAAACTCCCAGTGATCCTTCTCCCTCAGCCTCCCAAGTACTGGGATTATAGGCGTGTGCCACCATGCCTGGCTTACCGTTTCTTCATAACATTTACTACAATTTCAGTTTTATACTCATTTACCTGATGATTTGATTAATTCCTTTTTGTTTTCAGATTTTAATTTCCATGAGGGCAGGGACTATTTTTTCATCACATATCTTTCACATATAGCAGATATTTAACATAGAGTTGCTGAAAGGTTTGGATGAGCACAAGTTAGGAAATATGGACATTAAAGTTACAGAACCACTTATTTTGTTTTTGTCTAAATTTTGTAAAATTTTATTAGTACATGTTTGCAGTACATAAAGATGTTTACATAAAGATGGTTGATCCAAGAGTTTTCCTAAATATTCTTTGAAGTCTCTCAATCTGTTTCTTTTTTTCTTTTTTTGGTGCCAGGGATCAAATTCGGGACCTTCAGCTTGCGAGGCAGGCGCCGGAAACACTGAGATAAATCCTTGGCCCATTCTTTATTTTTTTAAAAAAACCTTTTAAGAAAAGTTTATGTATTTTATTTTATTTTATATTATTTAGTTTTTAAATTTGGTCTTTATTTCTTCAAATAAGTTTTTTTTTTTTTGGTACCGGGGATCAAACTTGGGACCTTGCACTTGTGAGGCAGGCGCCGGAACCACTGAGATAAATCCCTGGCCCATTCTTTATTTTTTTAACCAACCTTTTAAGAAAAGTTTATTTTTACTAGTGCATGTTTGCAGTGCATAATGATTGAGGGAGAGGCATTCACCGAGGGAGAGGCATTCACCGAGGGAGAAGGTGCATGTGCATGACACATCTTAATTCTTACTGCCCCCTCTCCCTGCTTCCTCCATCTCTTGATCTCTTTCCCATTTATAAGAAAGAACAACTCACTTTTTCAAAGAACAATTTATTTTTTTATTTTTTATTTTTTATTTTTTTTTGGTACTGGGGATCGAACTCAAGACCTTGCACTTGCGAGGCAGGCGCCAGAACCACTGAGCTAAATCCCTGGCTCAAGAGCAGTTTATTTTGATTATTAATTAGAAATAAAGTATTCCAAGTTAGCATCCTTCCCCTTTGCTCACATAACACCTTGTGCTTTGACCTCTCATGTCAATTATTTCACTACATTGTCATTATTTTTCTGAAAGTCTCCCCAGCTGAACTGTTTGCTTTCTCAGTAGAGAGACCATGTGTTCTTTGTTCGTGTGTACCTACTTTATAACACAATACCTTGCACATAGTAAATCTTTGTAGAAGTAATTAAATAAATATCACTCAAATAATCTCTTTTTCAGGAAATGCTGGGGCTTTCTAAAGTACCAGTTACTCAGGCAACACGTGGTCCTCAGGTACAGCAGCCACCTCCTTCCAACAGGTAATAATCAATTATGGCAAACAGAATTTTATGATTTATGCAGCTACTTTAAGCATCATGGGCCCTTAACTTGAACATAGGCATTTAGTAATAATATATTATTAAATCTTTTTAGGAACATACCTGTATTGGACTAATATACCTTTTAAGAATTAAGGCAGAATCATGTCACTGAAATGGTTTGCTTTTCATCATTGCAATATAAGTTTAGTTTTGATATATTCTTGGCTTTCTGTGTTTGGATTCATAAGGATGTAATTTTTGTGGTTTAGAGGCAGCCAAAGAAAAATAAGACCCCAAAAGCTTTTCATTTTGTCATCTCAACCTTAGAGGCAGATTTTTCTCCTAAATTTTCTCATCAGAGGTGGTCCTCACATAGTTATGTCAGGAACTTTAAAGCTTATGAGATGAGTAGATAGATAAAAGATGAAACTTCAAAGTTGTGCTTGGCCGGAGTGCATTGTAGACAAAGGTAGTGTCAAGTGGGGTTCCTGGACGGGTAGCATCAGCTTTACCTGTGGAATAGATTGAAATGCAGGCTCTTGGCTGCACAGACCTGCTGAAATGAACTTCAGAAACTGGGCCTTGGAGACAATTTTAAAACAAACATTACAACCAACTCTGAGGCTCATTCAACTTAGAAACCATTAGTTTGCTATGTATTCAAAGTGTTTTTCTCTATTTTTGTTGTTTCTTAAAGCCTCACACACATTTAAAAATGACTTTTTGTTTTCTAGATTCTTACAGCCAGTACAGAAAATAGACATGAATCTCACAGATCTTCTGGGAGAACTTCAGCGAGATCCTTGGCCTGTCCCTCAGGGAAAGAGACCCTTGCGTTCCTCAGGAGTGGCCCTTTCCATAGCCGTAGGGCTACTGGAGGTAGTGATGATGCATTTATTTTGGAATATAACTTTATCTGTGCATGCGTGTGTGTGTGTGTGCGTGTGTGTGTGTCTGTAATCCTAAGGATAGAGGAAAAAATCGAATCAGAGTGCTTTTTCTTGTTACTCTCTCAGTCAATATTCAACATAGAATATGTCTGTCACCTCAGATACGTGTGAGTTTTAACCTGTAGAATAAACAAGCAGTACTACAATGGGCACCAGCTGGATATGCTATAGTTCAATTCCAACACCATCTGTATAGAGATAACATCAGATGTCACAGACTAAATGTTGAGTTCCATGAGACTTGGCCCCTAATTCAGATGTCAGTTGCATCTAGTAGGTTGTCACCTCTCCTTCTGACTAGTCATTTGTAAACTGGGGGTTCCCATAACCTCCTCTTCAAGTTTGATTAATTTTCTAGAGTGGCTCACAGGCTTGAGGAAGCACTTTACTTACATTTACCTGGTTATTATAAAGTATATTCCAAAGAAACAGCCAGATGCTGCTTAGAGTGAGAGATGGACCTTCCATCCCTCTCCAGGCATTCCACCCTCCAGGAGCCTCCGTGTCATCTTAACTCTCCAGAAGCTTGCCTTTTGGATTTTTTGTAGAGGCTTTATTACATAGCATGATTGAATATATCATTGCTCACTGTTGTTCAATGAGAAATTTTTCATTATCTTATGATGTATTAATATTAGTAAAATGATTAACAGTTGATTCTCTTTTAGTACCTGGTGGTCCCTTCTATATGTATATTCAGGTGTTTTATTCTATGCACTGTTTTTTCTTGGATATTATAGTTTTAAGTATCAATTTTGTTGAATTGTTTTATCTTCTTTAAGCACTTCACTTATATGTACATTGGATCTTCCTTGCTTGTTTTCTATTTCAGCACTTTGTCTTTTTAAAAAAAAAAACTTTTCTATTTCATTTTCATTCTCTTGGTTATTTTTTAGCTTTTCTTTGGTGCTCCTAAATTTTCATTTGAACCTGACAGTTGTTCTAGGTCCATTGCTAGCTTCTCTTTTTTCTGTTTCATGTACTTTCCTCCCAAGTTGCCCTTGATGTATGTGAAGACTTGCAGTCAGAACACGAGAGATAGCTCAGTGGGATTTAGTGCTTTTTTTTTAACCTATAGAATATTTGAAGTGCAGATGTAATTTGTGTTTTAGTTTTGTGAAAATCATGTTGGTATACTTTTATTTGTTCTTGTTCTTCTTCTTTTTTGTCATTTTTTTGTTTTTTGAGGCAAGGTCTCGCTATGTAGTTCAGGCTGGCTTTGAACTGACTCTGTAGCCCAGACTGGCCTTGAACTCTCAGCAGTCCTCTTGCCTCAGCCTCCCAAGTGCTGGGAGTATAGGTGTGCACCACCACACCTGGCCTGTTCTTGTTCTTCACTGTTGTTTAATCTTTACATAATTACCTCATATAACTAGAATGAAGAGTATTGCTTATTAAACTAGTTTAAGAAAGTTATAGACGTAATGAACATGCTTTGTAAAAATGTTCAAATAATATATAAGGATGTATAAAAATGAAAACTAAAAGAGCTTTCATTGTTTTCCCCAGACTTGTTAATCATATATTTAAAGTTGTTGCAGTTTATATAATTTACATTCTGTTCTGAAACCATAATGTAACTTCAAAAATATACTCTTCAAAAATATACTCTAGTTTGTCTGATAACTGCTTATAGAATTTAGAAATAAAAAAGCATTTTAATATGATTATATAAGTAGTGTAGAATAAAGCAGAATAATTATATATACATAGAGAAGGAAATATAATCCTTTGTCATTGCAACTTTGCTGCTACTAGAGAATCTTATGTATCAAGCTTTAAGGATACCCTTTCAGTCGTTTTTCTAGATTTGCTTATTTCCTTTGGGTTGTGCTTAGTTGCCCTTTTTTGTAAATTTTCTGAATTCTTACAAACCCAGAACTGTTTTTAATTTTTCCTTCTCATTTTACTGGTGGTTGGGTGGCTCTGGAGTCTAGGTTCAAAATAATCTTCATTTGGAAATTTGAGCCACTTCTATCTAGTGTTCTAAAATACAGTTTATTGGTGATAATTTGATGTAGACTTGTTCTATTTCTTTAGGAAACTTATTTTTCTTGTTAGATATTTTTAGAATGTTCTCTTTATAATTTTAGAGTTCTGAAATTTCTTAAGGCTGTGTTCAGGTTTGATTATTTTTTCATTAGTTATTTTTGGTTTTTGGTAAGCTCTTTCAATCTGAAGACTTCTGTAATTCTCCAATTTCACTTTTTTTGTCTTTTTAATTCTATATTCATTAGATTGATGCTGGACCTCTGTATCTTTATATATCCCTATTTTCTTCCTCAGAGTTTTCTTCTTTGCTCCTATTCCTGGGGTATTTCCTCAATTTTATTTTCTTTATCTCTAACCCAGTCTTCAGATGTGCTCTTTAGCCCATCTATGTTTTTTTTTTCAATGCTTTTCATTCCAGATGAGAGTTTTCATCTTTCTTAGTCACTTTCTTTGTCTCTGGGACACAACACCTGACACCCACAATTTAGAGGAGGAGAGGTTTATTTTGGCTCATGTTTTGTAGAGGTTTCAGTCCATAGTCAGCTGGCTTCAGGGCAGAAGTAACGTGGCAGAAGGCTGCTCACCTCCTGGCATCCCCGAAGCAGAACGAGTCAAAGGAAGAGCTGGAAGGGACAGTCTTCTGAGTCACACCCATGGTGACCGCCTCCTTTAACCAGACCCAACCTGCTAATAGCAAATCAGCTATAATGTCCTTATAACCCAGTCACCTTCCAAAGGTTTACATCTGTGACCCCATGAGGCTTTTGGGGGACATCTAGATATAAACCATCACCTCTGTCATGTTTGTTGTGAAATCTATTGCAACATGTGCTCTTCTGTATCTCTCAGTTTATCCAGTTTCTGTGCTAAAAACCTTGTGCCGGCAGATGACATACTTTCCACAGTTCAGATTACAGGAATTTCTTTTTTTTTTTTTTTTTTTGGCACCATGGATCGAACTTGGGTCCTTGCGCTTGCGCAGCAGGCGGAGAAACCACTGAGCTAAATCCCCGGCCCTGGTTACAGGAATTTCTGATGGCAGAATCTGATGGATGTCATTAGTGCTTATACCTAGAGTACAGATATACACTGTATCTTCTTTGGCCCATTTCTGGTTTTCTTTGTGTCTTTTTTAAAAAATTCCAAATATGGAGCTTTTCATGTATTCCCCTGGGAAGATCTAGCTTACTTTTGCTTTCTGGGATTTATATAACATATATATTAATAATATATATTTCTTTTTTTTTCGTGTTCATCCAGTGTAGTCTTTTGTTTGAATTCCTCAAAATTTGTGGTCTACTGATAGCATAATTTCTTATCTTTCAATTTTATTTACTTTTTTTTCAAATTTTTATTTTTATTAGTGCACGTATGTAGTACCTGATGATCATGTTCCTCCTGGGGAGTTGGGACATGTGCATAACATATCTCAGTTATTTTTTCATCCCATTTCCTACTCCTTCTTCCCCCTTCCCTCCATCTCTTGGTCCCCTTGCTATTTCCAAAAGATCTATTACCCTACTTCCTGTTATCCATTTTTTATTTGGTCTTTTATATATATATATAAAATTTTGGGTTTCTTATATGAGGGAAACCTTGCAATATTGAAGGTTGTGTATCTGATTTATTTCACTTAACATTATAGTCTCAAGGTACATCCATTTTCCTACAAATGACTCGTTTGTCCCTCTTTATGATAGAGTAGTACTCCGTAGTGTATAAATACCACATTTTCTTTGTCCATTCATCTGTTGATAGACATACAGGGTGCTTTTAAGAGTTAGCTGTTATGAATTGTGCTACTGTAAACATGGGTGTGCATGTATCATTGTAATGTATTTGTAACTCTTTTGGGAAGATACCTAGCAGGGAAATAGCTGGGTCAAATGGAATTTCTAGTTTTAGTTTTTTGAGGAATCTCCATACTTATTTCTATAGTGGTTGTGCCAGTTCACATTCCCACCAACAATGGAGAAGGGCTCCTTTTCCACTGCACCCTCACCAGCATTTGTTGTTACCTGATTTCTTGATGATGGCCAGTCTTTGTGAAGTAAGATTGAATTTTGTTTTAATTTGCATTTCTCTAATGGCCAGAGATGTTGAACATTTAAAAAAAATGTATTTATTGGCCATTTGTACTTTTTCTGAGAAATGTCTGTTCATTTCAATTGCCCATTTTTTGATTGGGTCTTTTATTTTGAGGAGGTCTAATTTTTTTTGATTCTTTTATATATTCTAGATATTTGTTTTCTGTCTGAGAAGGAGCTGGCAAAAATATTTTTCCATTCTGTTGGTTGTCTTTTCACTTTGTTGGTTGTTTCCTTTGTGGTGCAGAAGCTATTTATTTATTTATTTATTTATTTTTGGTACCGGGGATTGAACTCTGGTCCTTGTGTTTGCAAGGCAGGTGGCAGAACCACTGAGCTAAATCCCCAGCAGAAGCTTTTTAATTAGATATGATCCAATTTATGGATTCTTGATGTTTCTTATGTGTTTCTGTGTTGTTTCTTGTTGTGTTTCTTGTGCTGGTTCTGTTCAGAAAGTCCTTGACTACACCTATGTCTCCAAGAGTTTTACCCATTTTATCTTCTAGGAGATTAAATGTTTCTGATTTAACATTTGGATCTTTGATCAAGGTTGATTTTACTTTAGTACATGGTAGAATATATGGGTCTAGATTAGATCTTCTGCATGTGAACAGCCAGTATTCCCAGGAGCACTTATTAAAGAAGCTATACTGTAGCACCTCAGTTCATGAACTTAATTTGTTGCATGATTCAGGGGAAAATGGCCACACTTGTGTTTGTGCAAAGAAGATAGCCTCAGTCTTGTTGGTCACCTGTTGCTGAGTTTGCAAATAAAAACAAAATTTTTGCCAAATGTTTCTGTTTGTGAACCAGATTGTTTGGAAACAAAAGTGTTCGTGAGCCAAGATACCACTGTATTTCCTCCTGTGTGTTTTTGGCCTCTTTGTCAAAGATCAAATAGCTGAATGAGCCTTGGGTTGTTTCTGCATCCTTTATTCTGTTCCATTTATCCACATGTCTGGTTTTCTTCAATACCATGCTGTTTTTAACAGTGTAGCTTTGTAATATAACTTTATATCTGAGATTGTGATGCCTTCTTGTTTGCTTTTTTTTTGGTACCAGGGATCGAACTGAGGACCTTGCACTTGCTAGGCAGATGTGGCACCACTGAGCTACATCCCCAGCCCTGCTTTTGTTACACAAGATTGCTTTTGCTCTTCTGGGTGTCTTTTGGTTCCATATAAATTTTCTTTTCTTTTAAAATTTTGGGGTAGGGGGAGTTTTAGACAGGGTCTTGCTGTGTAGTTCAAGCTGTCCTTGAACTCCCTATGTAGCCCAGGCTAGCCTCAAATTCATGGTGATCCTCCTGTCTCAGCATCTCAAGTGCTAGGATTACAGGCGTGTGCCTCCACTCCTGGCTTCCATGTGAATTTTAGGATTGTTTTCTCTATATGTCTGTGAGGAATGCTGTTGGTATTTTGCTTGGGATTCCATTAAATCTGTATATCAGTTTTGGAAGTATGGCCATTTTGATAATACTAGTCCTGCCTATCCAGGAACAGGGGAAATTTTTTCATTTTCTGATGTCCTTTTCCATTTCCTTTTTTAAGATACTGTAGTTTTCATTGCAGAGGTCTTTCATTTCCATGATTAGATTAAGTCTTTTTTTTTTTTTTGGTACCAGGGATTGAACTTGGGTCCTTGTGCTTGTGCAGCAGGCAGCGAAACCACTGAGCTAAATCCCTGGCCCGATTAAGTCTTAAGTATTTAATATTTTTTAATGCTATTGTGAATGAATGTCTTTTTGCAACCTTTTCATGGACTCTTAATTCTTTGCTAAGATGGTCATTAATGTTTTTTAGTTTTGTTTAGCTTAGCTAGCTTTTTATTAGTGTCTTCTGTAAACTTGATGATCCATTATCTGTTTAGTTATAGCTTCTTTGAGCTCACTCAGTACTTTATTGGTCTTTTAAAAAAATTCCTTCTGTTATGCTTTTGAATAATTTGGCTATGTGTGTTTTGATTTCTTTCCCCTTGATGCCCCATGTATCAGCTTGGAGGGACTTGGCAGTTTTTGGAAGCATTTTGGTGTTGTGTCCTCTTATGTTTCTGTTGTTTTTGTTTGTTTGTTTTTTGTGCTGAGGTCTGTGCCTTGATTATAGTGGAAGACTTTGTTACTAGTATGGAGACCTCTTTAGTTAGTGTCAGCTTTTTATGATGCACTCTGGGCATGGCTAACTATAAGCCTTTGCTTCTGTCCCAAGATCCTATCACCTCATTTTATTTGGGAGCATAGGCAACAGTGGATTTGGCCCAGCACCCAGCTCAGGAATGGGTGGCAGTATTGTTAATGACAAAAGGCAATCCAGATATTGGCTTACAGAGAAAGCCAGTTAATAGCAACAACTGTGCCACCCTGGCAGTAGCAGTACAAGCAGCAGTATTAAGTGTTGAATACAAACTGGATATTGACATAACCTGTGAATCAGTATTATACCACCTTTAACTATAGAAAAGAGATCTATAATTATAGTGTAAACAGTAAAAGAAATAAAAAATTGACATACAGCCAGGCGTGGTAGTGCATGCCTGTAATCCCAGCACTTAGGAGGCTGAGGCAGGAAGATCACTGTGAGATTGAGGCCAGCCTAGGTTACATAGTGAGTTCAAGGCTAATCTGAACTACATAGGGAGACCCTGTCTCAAAAAACAAAACAAAACTGAAAAATTGACATAAGTAGCTACTAAAGGCAACAGCTATACCTCTACTAACAATAGATCTGTATTCAGTAGTAATACCATAGAGTTACCTAACTATGTAAATATTCATAAAACTTAATGGTTATATTAGTAATGACAAAGGGGGTGGGAACTGGAGAGTGAAAAAAGTAGAATTTGAAAAATTAATCAATGGAAGATGAAAAGCAAATGAGAAAAATGAGGTAAAGGATCCTATTCAGGAGTAAAAGTAAGTTAATAATAGATAAATGTAACAAAAGAAAAAACAGAGCAAAATAAAGAAAAAAATAAGAAGGGAAAAAGAATTAAAAGGAGAAAAGAAAGAAAAACAAAAAAAAAGAAAAAAGGAGACCCCCCCCTCCCCGCAATCTTAAAAAACCAATGATGGAAAAAAGAGAAAAAACTAAGTCAAAACAAATTTTCCGGTATTTTTGAATGAGTGTTTCTTTGTAGAATCTGCAGTCTTGGAATCCAGCAAGTCATGCTCTTCTCTGCCTAGCTTTACAGCTTCTGAGTTCGTGAGGTGCCCTCCTTGCTCCAGAGGGCCCTCTGTCTGTACACTGCAGGCGGCGGCAGCTGTCCTAGCCAAGTTGTGTCCTTGTTCACTTGGTAGATGGGGAAGGCACTCAGACCACTGGTGGGTTGGTTGGGTGTAGGCAGTAGTGGGGGTGGGTGTTCAAGCAGACTGTTGGACCTGATCCCAGCAATTTCAGGTCCAGGCATCTCTCAGGCTTGGTTTCTTACCACACAGGCTGGGGCAGTGTCCTTCTCCACCTGACCTAAATTTCTTGTGGATATGTCTAGCCTGCACCTTCTTCACGGTTGTCTTCTGTGGCTCTCACCCAGTCACTGTGGGAGGGTAACACTGGAAACCCTTGGGTGTAGTTGTTCTGTGGTTTAATCTTAACCCCTCCTTCCTCCCTTAGTTTTAAACCCTCTCTGGCAATATAGTAATGTTACGCTGTGTTTTCCCCAACTCTAGCCTCATGAAGGAGTCACTTTTGGAGTAAAACACCAATCTGTTTTTGTAGTTTACAACAGCCATGGGATTCTCTTGGGGCCAGTGCCCTGCAGGCCAGATCCATTATTTCTCCCTCGATCTGCTGATTCTCTGAGGCTTACCTTCTGTCTCAGGGATGGCCTTGTCCATCATCAGGATGGTCAGTTGGTTGGTGCCTCTGCTGTCTGGTGCCAAGGGGAAGCAAAACACGGAATGGCCTTGGAGTTGGTGGCTGGTTGCAGCCAGGGTGCAAAATCCAGTCTCGGAGTTAGTTAAGGGGTCTACTTATTTTTAAATAGTACCTTTTCTTTCATTTCACTGGCATCATGGGAGGAAGGAGTGGTAGATTGGAGTACTCAATTTGTGAACTTTGATCTATATGTCATGGTGACACTTTAAACATAGAAAGAAAACAGTAATAAATGGATGGAGATATATCTTGGTGGTAGAGCAGTTGCTAGCTAGCATGCATGAGGTCCTTAGTTTGCTCCTGAGCACTGTCCCCCAAAAAAGAAAAAGAAGAAAACAATAACTATAAAGAGAAGATGCCTTTTTTTCCCCCCTCTCTACTACTCTCTATTTAGAACTAGTTAGGCTGGAGAAAGGTTCTTGTTTGTAGGTTTATTATAAGTTTATAGATTTATTATTTTATTAGGTTTATAGATTATTTAAAAATCAGGTATCCAGTTCTATTTAAGATTTTAAAGTTGTGTAGACACCTTGTTTTTAAACATCGTTTTAAACAGTTGATTATTTTATTGCTTAGAAATACATACTTTCCTCTTTTCTTGAAATAATCTACCAGAAAGATATAACCATATATCTTTCGTTTTCCTTTAAGTTCTAGTGATGCATTTCTTTTTTCCAATAGTGTACTTTTCCCAACACTGGTGCTCGTATCATGATGTTCATTGGCGGTCCTGCCACCCAGGGACCTGGCATGGTGGTTGGAGACGAATTGAAGACACCTATAAGATCATGGCATGACATTGAAAAGGACAGTACCAAATATGTAAAAAAGGGAACTAAGGTAATTTTGATTTTTAAACCCTTTTATCACACAGGAAAACAGGTATTCATTTGATTAAAGAAGAATGTAGATTATTTTTCTACCCACTGATAACCATGAAGTATGATACTATAATTGCTATACAGTATTGGGGAAATATTTTTTTTCAAGTTGTCAGACTTTTGGGTTGAAATATTTAAAAACTTAATAGTTAGATTCCAATAGTTATATCTTTAAAGATTAGTCCTGAGAGAAACTTTCTGTGCCTTTTTAAATATTCATGTCACAGAATGTCTTTCTCCTCAGGAAAAAAGTTTCTCTTGTTTTCTCTTCTCAAGAGGCAGCCTCTAATGTTTCCTCTAGATGTATGTATGTTGTTCATAGTTTGAGCAGTCCCATCATTTTCTTGCAAGTTATTTTCTGTCATCTAACTTTACTTTTGGGGGGCTTGTGCAAGTATATTTCACTAGTGATGTCTCTTTTATATTGGATCTGCTTGTAGTGTCCCTGTTAAAAATACTCTTTTAGATTTCACAATTTTAGCTTGGTTGTGCTGTATTATAATTTTTAAAAGTTAATTTTATTGATATACTTTTTTTTTTTTTTTTTTTGGTACCGGAGATTGAACTTGGGTCCTTGTGCTTGTGAGGCAGGTGGCAGAGCCACTGAGCTAAATCCCCGGCCCTGGTAGACTTTTTTTAAAGCATAAATATAATAGTCTTTATTTAAAGTTGTACAATCACCACAATTTTAGAGCATTCTCAACATTCCCTCCAAAAACTCTGCATTCATTAGCAGCCATTCCCTATCTTGCCCCAACTCACTGTCTGTCATTCACTAGTCTGCTTTCTTTCCTTTTTAAATTAATTTTATTGGTACATTTTAGGTATACAATACAATGACATTCATCATTGGGAATTTGCCCCTTTATATAATCTCTCTTGGTTCCTAGTTTTTCCCCATTCCCCTGCCCTCCAACCCCTCCATCCCTCCCTATTTACAAAGACTTTGTTTCCATTTTTTCATTTTCTCATATTAATTCCATTTCTTTCTTTCCTTTCCCCTACCCCTCCCACTTCCCCTTCCCCTTTGCCCCTTTTCTTCCTATTTCACATTATCTATTATACCTTTTAGTCCTTATGTACACTTTCAGTTTCTCACACTAGAGAAACTATTTGGTATTTACATATGTGTGTCCTATTTATTTCACTTAAGAGTATCATCTCAATGTGCATCCATTTAGCTATAAATGTCCCTAATTTCTCATTTTTATGGCTGAGTAGTACTCCATTTTATAAAAAAACCACATTTTGTTTATCCAGTCTCCAGTTGATGGGCAGTTGGTCTGCCTCCAAGTTTTAGCTACAACAAATTGGGTACACTTTTGATATATATAATAGTCACATTCATCATAGGGAATTTGTACCTTTTCATAATATATCTGGTTTTTTTTTTTTTTTTTTGGTGCCGGGGATCAAACTCGGGTCCTTGTGCTTGCGCAGCAGGCGGCGAAACCACTGAGCTAAATCCCCGGCCCAATATATCTGTTTTTTAATGAGAAAATAACTGTAACTTGCATTGAATGCCTCACAATCACTATAAAACCAAAAAAGGATAATACCATTTAAGTGGTTAACATACACAGGAAACCCAGATACAGAGTATAATTTTCAAACACAGTATTGCTCCTTTTTTCCCCTCCTCCAATAAAAAAAAGAAGAAAAGGAAAAAGTCATCTAGGTAAAGAGCAAGATGAAATCAAAATTGGCAGCTCACTGAATGCTTAAAATTCAGGAAATTGGTTCTGTAACTGCATAATATATCTTGATTCTTCTTTTTTTCCCATTCCCCTCCCCTCCCTTCAATCCGTCTTCCCCTCCTTATATATAAAAGCTTCATATCCATTTTTTCCTTCTATTCTTTTTTTCCCTTTTCCCTTATTGTCATTTTTTAGTAGTCTTTATTTAAAAAAAAAAAAACTAGGCATGGTGATACATGCCTGTAATCCCAGCTATTCAGGAGGCTGAGGCATGTCAGCCTGGGTAGCTCAGTGAAAACCTGTATAAAAATAAAAATAGCAAAAAAAGGGCTTGGGCTGTAGCTCAGTGGTAGAGCACTTTTCTAACATGTGTGAGTGCCTGGGTCCAATCCCCAGTACCACTTGAAAAAAAGTAATTAATGAGAGATAATTTTTGTCACAGTTATTGAATACTTTTTTTTCTGGTAGCTAATTTTCTCTTTGAGCTTGGAATTTTTCTTGGTAAAAGCTACAAAACAGTGTTTTACATTTGCTTATCTTATTGCTTTTGGCAGTGTCTGTTTTTGGATATTTTTGTTACTTAAATGTGGACTTAGCCAGGAAAAAGAGTTCTGTGTTGCTATCTTGTGTGTTTATATTTGAAAAGCAAGATGTTCATTGTGGTATTTAAATTTTCTGTCACTTAGGGGTTTATTTAGAAATAATGGCTTTTAAGTAAAAGAATAGGAAAATGACATTTCTAGAAGTTACTGTATCGTTTTTATAAGACATAGCAAATTAAGAACAAATCATATTTAAATTATGAATTATTTTTTAGTCTTAAATAAATTTGATCTGATTTATAGAATGATTACGCTTACATTTTTAATTTTTAAAATCTTTTATAGCATTTTGAAGCATTGGCTAATCGAGCTGCTACAACTGGCCATGTTATTGACATCTATGCCTGCGCATTAGATCAGACGGGTCTCCTGGAGATGAAATGCTGTCCCAACCTTACTGGGTATGTATTAAATTATTTTACAGTTTTTGTAAATATAAACTAATAATGACCGTTTACAAATATAAACCAATAATGACAGTTTAGGCACAAAAATAGCATCTTACCCTGTCAGAGGAATATCTGTTAGCAGTTTTGGTGTTTCTTCTGTAAAGTTCTCTTTAAATATTTTTTCAGAATATTGAATTACAAAGGCACAAGTTCTGCTTATAAAGCTGATTTTGATATCCTGAAGCCCTTGTTTCATTTTATTATTTAAGAGCATCTTTTTGTGTGTGTGAGCTACACCCCCAGCCTGTTAGCAACAGCAGTTTTGATGTATGAATTCACATACCATAAAATTGACCTATTTAAAATGTTCAGTGTGATGGTGTTTAATGTATCATATGTTGCCCAAAAACCACTGAAATATAACTGGAACATTTTTATTATCCTAGAGAGAAACTCTACCCATTAGCAGTAACTTTCATTCCTCCCTTCTTTCTCTTTCCCCCACTCTCTCAGCCCTAGGTGACCAATAATTACTTATTTTAGTTTTTTTTTTAATAAATGGAATAATACAATATTGGGTTCCTTTACTCAGCATGATGTTTTCAGGGTTCACTCATCTTTAGGACGTACCCTTACTTCATTTCTCTTTATTGCCAAATAAAAAGTGAAACATGGGTTCAACTTATTATTTAATACTATTCCATTGTATGGATACATCACATTTAATCCATCAGAAATGAACATTTCATTACTACTTTTTGGCTATTTTGAATAAGGCTACTTGAACGTGTGTGTAAGGTTTTGTGTAGAGATTATGTTCGTGTTTTTCTTAGATATATGCCTAGAAATGAATTTGGTGGGTCCTATGGTAATCTGTGCTTAACTTTTTTTTTTTTTTTTGGTGTTTAACATTTTGAAGTAGAGCTGGGTGTGCTGGCAGGCTCCATCATTAGGGAGGCTGAGGCAGGAAGATCACCTGAATTGAAAGCCAGCCTGGGCTACATAGTGAGTTCAAGACCAGCCTAGAATATATAGTGAGATTTTGTCTCAAAATACCAAAACAACCCAAAAAACCCCTCCAAACCAAGCCAAACCAAACCAAAAGAAACAAAAAATCATTTTGAAGTATTTTGAAACTGTTTTCCAAAGTCACTGCATCACTTTATATCAGTTCCCACTACCCAAGTGTGGGGATTCCAGTTCCCACACTCTTACCAACACTTGTTATTATCTGTCTCTTATAATATCTGTATGAGTAGGTGTGAAGTAATATTTTGTTGAGGGTATGATTTGCTTTTATCTGAAGACTAATGATGTTAAACATTAAACAGTTTGTTATTAGCAGTATCTGTTTGCAGCACATAATGATTGCGTTCATCTTGGGGAGTTGGTGGTACTGGATGTATATGGCGTCTTGATAAGTTTTAGTCTCTACTCTCCTCCCTGCCTTCCCTTCTTGAGAGCGCTCTTCCTTCCCACAAAGTTTACCTCCCTGTTTGCTACCACCTCACTTTTATTTTGCTCTTTAAGTTTTTTATAGTTTGGGGTCCTCATATAAGAGAAAGTGTGTGATTTATAACCTTGTGTCTGATTTATTTCACTTAGCATTATGGTCTCAAGGTGGATCTGTTTTCCTACAGATGACTCAAATTTATCCTCCTTAAGGCTGAGGAGAACTCCATCGGTCAGCTGTACTTCTTTTGAGAAGTGTCTATTCATTTCAGTTGCCTGTTTTTTATTGGATCTTTTATTTGGGGGGATATCTAATTTTTTGAGTTCTTTATATATTTTAGATATTAATCCTCTGTCTGAGGAGTAGCAAAATTTTTTTACTATTCTGTAGGCTGTATTTTCACTATGTTGGTGGTTTCCTTAGCTGTGTAGAAGCTTTTTAATTTGATATCCCATTTGGTTCATGATATTACCTTGTGCAGTTGGGTTCTGTTCAGAAAGTCTTTGCCTCTGCCTGTGACTTTTAGAGTTTTATCTATTTCTAGGAGACTCAGTGCTTCTGTTTTTGTATTTAGATCATTGATGCATTTTGATTTGACTTTAGTTCAGGTTGAGAGATACGGACTTAGATTCATTCTTTTGCTTTTTTTTTTTTGTTACCGGGGATCGAACTCAGGTCCTTGTGCTTGCGAGGCAGGTGCCGGAACCACTGAGCTAAATCCCTGGTTCATTCTTTTGCTTTTTAAAAATGTTTCAGTACTGGGGATCGAACTTGGGACCTTGCGTTGTGAGGCAGGCAGCAGAACAACTGAGCTAAATCCCCGGCCCTACTTTTGCTTTTCTTTTTGAAGAGGCTTTTTCTCCAGTGTATGTTTGTGACCCCTTTATCAAAACTCAGATGGCTAAGTGCGCTTGGAGTGGTTCCTGAATCCAACAGTTCTTTTTTACTGGTCAACATGTCTATTTTTGTGCCAGTACCTTACTGTTTTTAGTGCTGTAGCTTTGTAGTATAATTTGAAATCCAGAATTGTAATGCCTACTGCTTTGCTCTTTTTGCTCAGGATTGCTTTGGCTCTTCTGGTTCTGAGCATTTGATGTGTTATTGATTATAGTGTGACATAGTCATAGATGACATGTATGTAAATGTAGAAAAATCTGAATCTAAAAACTATTAGAATTAATATGAGAAGTTATCAACATTTCTGGACCTAAGTCAGTATACAAAGTACTAGATTTTTATACACCAGTAACAGCAAAATTTACAAAGATAAAATCTGTAAAAGCATCTGAGATGACATATTGCAACTTTTATCAGCATCCAAAGTAAAATTACTATGAATTATTCCACATCAATTTTTGTTTTTTTGCCTATTTTAATTTTTGATTGTGTTCTTTTTTTGTATATATTATACTGGGAACTTGACCCAAGGAATGCAGAGCTACAGTAACCCCAGCCCTTTTTATTTATTATTATTTTTTTACTTTAGAGACAAGGTCCAGCCTAAACTTGCTGTCTTAGCTTCCTGAGTAGGTGAAATGATGAGTGTGTGCCTCCGTGTCTGGCCTTTTTTGTTGTTTTATTGTATCTTTTATTATTGTTTAAAAATACTTAAACATTAAAAAAGTATGGGGCTGGGGATTTAACTCAGTGGTTCCACCACCTGCCTTGCAAGCACAAGGTCTGGAGTTTGATCCCTGGTACCAAAAAAAAAAAAAAAATTAAAAAAAAGGATGTGCATTTTTGTGTCAATATTTGTGTGTGTATCCTTTTTATACAAACAGCAGAATATTCTACACATCTTTTCCCACTTGTGTTTTTCACTTATCTCCTGGAAATCAATCTTATTACTCTATTGTGTGGATATACTATACATATTTTATTCTCTAATAGATGGTCATTTGGGTTGTTTTCAATTTTTTGTTATTACAAATAGTGCTTCATTGAATAACCTTATTAATTTATTTTGCTTTTTGTTTTTGTTTTGCCAGTGTGGACTCTTTGTGAGATCATATCTTCAGTAACTTGGGGCATAGATTCCTGATAGTGAGGTGGCTGGATTATAAAGAAAACTAGTGTGTAATTTTGATATTTTTAGTTTCCTCTGCATCAGGGTTGCACTGTTTATGCATTCTCCTAGCAACATACGAGGGTGTCTGTTTTTCACAGCTTTAGCAATGAAATGTATTGTCAAGCTGTGACTTGTGCTGATTTATTAGAGAATAAATGATATCTCAGAATAGTTTTTATTTGGAAGTTGCTGGCTTTTAAAACTTTTTTTTTAATTAAAGAGGCATGTATATGCCTACTGAAAGAAACGTAGACAGTGCATAAGTGCATGAAGATAAAATGTTCCTTAATGCCCCTTTGTTCTCATTCACTGAATGTGAAACACACATATACTACCCACACATACACTTTTTTGGGAGGGATTTGAGACAGGGTCTTGCTACTTATTTCAGGCTGGCCTTGAACTCACTAGCCTAAACTGTTCTTGAGCTCACAGCGATCCTCCTGCCTCAGCCTCAGAGTGATAGGTTTACATCTGTGGCCACCAGGTGTTTTTTTTTTTTTTTTTTTGGTACTGGGGATCGAACTCTGTTCCTTCTGCTTGTGAGGCAGGTGGCGAAACCACTGAGGTAAATCCCCGGCCCATCACCAAGTTTTTAAGAATGGAAATGCCTGCTGTAAAACAGGAGAACTGGGAGGCAGAAGCTGTATATTATCTTATATTCATTTGTGTCATTTGAATTTTATGATGTGTGGGTGTATTACTATTTAAACAGAATTTTAAAAAATTACTGAGACCAAATGCTAGTGTTAGGGACATTTACATACCCTCAGAATTGAGATTATTTGTAAGATGAGGATATTTTAAAAAATTAATGATAATACAGCACATTTTGGAAAATATCTTTAAAATTTGTTGGTATCTTGAGAAGTGATTTATTTTTCTGCTAACACATGAACCAGGTAACTGTCATATAGTATATACATTGTGTTTTGTTCTTTCCATGCAGAGGATACATGGTAATGGGTGACTCTTTCAACACTTCCTTATTCAAACAAACTTTTCAAAGAGTTTTCACCAAAGATATGCAAGGACAATTTAAAATGGGCTTTGGTGGGACATTAGAAATAAAGGTAAGAAACCTGACTTACGTGGGATGTGTTTGTTAGGAGATAAAATTTGTAGGTTTCCCTATAATTTTGAAATATTATAAATCAAATCCAATATAGGCTATAAAAATAGTGGTTATTTTATATGGGAACTTCATGTTAGAAATTTGTTCAGCAAAAAGGCCTATTATTAAATGTACGGTGAAACTTTATTTGAACATTTCTGAACAACTGTTAGAAAAATAGAATTTTATAGGTAAAATTTCTTTTAACTATGTATATTAGGTTTAACATTTTGTGTTTTATCTTTTTCGTGCTAAATTTTTATTTTTGTACTAGATTATTTTAATGGCAGAAGTTATCTAACTTGAGGAAAGTATTCTGTGTCATTAGGAAACTTTCAAGTTTGAAATGACAAAGTTTTATGCTTAGTTGTTGTTATATAACACTATCATTCATTTCAGATTTCGATTTTAAAAATCCACAGGCTTTGGTGTTAGGTACATGTGCATTACAAGTACACTGATTTTGAATTTTCATTAAATATTTCATATTAATCATGTTATTTTATTGAATACTTGTTGTTTACCCATCATTATGGTAGGACATTATAGAGATGTCAAGGCGTATATAAGGCTGAGGTCTTGTTATAGAAAATCTTAGTCTTTTTTCTGGTACCAGGAATTGAACTCGGGACCTTGTGCTTGGGAGGCAGGCAGCGGAACCGCAGAGCTACATCTCTGGCCCTAGAAAAATCTTAGTCTTTATAGACAAAACTTACACATGTGACAGAATGAAATCATAATAAATATAAAGGCTAATCAAAAAATACAGTATGTTTAAAAATTAATTACAGTAAAAGATACATTGCCATTAATCTTTCTCAAAATCCTCTCTGTCATGTTGAAAATGTTTATTTCCTCATTCTTGGCACTTTCAGAAGCAGTTCTTACATGACTTTACGAGGTGCGATCAAAACATGCTGCTGCCTGGTGCCATCCAAAGTAAAGGCAGGCTTGTAAAAACATTGTGTGTCTTGATCCACCTCAGTTTTGAAGAGAGATTTTCTGTGGGAGGAAAAATAGAAAATGATGTGTGTGTGTGAATTAGGGTGTGTGGATTTGGAGTATGGTATGAGTTTGAATTTAGGGTGGGATTTCCAAGTGGAGACCTATGGGCTGATGGAAATAGAAGATTAAAATTGAGTCAGGGCTAGATTTTAAATTTTGGAGTTATCAGCATAGAAATAGTCACTGACTAATTACTTTTAAATGTTACTATATTTTCTTTGGCTTTTGAGTTTCAAATATGGAAGAATATCTTATGTCCTTAGATACTTAAAGTTGAACATTTGAACTGACCTCTGAGGAAACCAAATATGCTATATTTTTATTTTTCAGACCTCAAGGGAGATAAAAATTTCAGGAGCTATTGGACCTTGTGTGTCTCTCAATTCTAAAGGACCCTGTGTGTCTGAAAATGTAAGTCATTCTTATTCTAGAAAGAAAATATAGTTAATTCTCAGGACAGCACCAGCAGAGACCTTCCAGTCAAATAATTGTCTGAGCTCTTTATGTTGTTTAGCTTCATTGGTATACTTCTCTTTGTGGTTGACCTTTTCATCTACCTTTCTTATCCACGCCTAAGTTAAAACTTTTGTATTGTTATGAGCCTTCTGTTTTTCATGGCTAAGTTATTCCTTGCCCCAGTGTGCCTTAAAACATTTTTATAATTTGGAGATTTGGAGACTTCTGAAAGTCAAACTTCCAAATGGATTTTTGTTACGAGAATGTCCAACAAAATAACCAAATTAGCTAGGTTTAAGTTTCAATTCCTTTTTTTCACTTTATCCCATTTGTAGAGGTGTAATGCACTCCAGAATTGTAGAATCATGTCTCTGTAGAGAGGACAGTGGGACATATAACACGAGGTAGGTAATCAGCTCTAAAAATGACAAAGTTCCAATGTTGATTTTAAGCAGTTTGCATGGTGAAGATCTATACTGAATTTTTCTTAGGAATAGCTGCAAAAATTCTGATCCAGAGGACCTGTTTATGTATACATATATTATATATTAAAGCAATATCTCTTCACACAGATCAAACACTTGGATAGAAAGATAATGTTAGAAGCTGGGTGTGGTGGCACACACCTATAACCCCTGCTACTCAGGAGCCTGAGGCAGGAGAAATCATAAGTCTGAAGCCAGCCCAGACAATTTAGCAAGACCCTATCTCAAAAAATAAAATAAAAAGCCTGGAGATGTAGCACAGTTGGAGAGCGCTTCCCTAGGATCAATCCTCAGTACACCTCCTTCTCTGTAATAATGTTATTGTAAACACTTCATTAAATGGCATATGCTTCTTTTTGAACCTTAATTGAATTATTTATTTTATTAGTAATAGAATGTCATATGCTTTTAAAGACTACAATATGAAGACCTAGAATCAATACTCACCTTTTAATTTACTTAACAAAAATTTGTATTATCTTAAAATTTTGTTATGAAAGAATTGTATAATTTTATTTCATGATATATCGTATGACTAAGGAATTGTAAGCTTTTTTTTTTGGTACGGGGGCTCAAACTTGGGACCTTGTGCTTGCAAGGCAGGCGACGGAACCACTGAGCTAAATCCCTGGCCCAGGAATCTTAAGCTTTTAATGTTCACTGAATTAGTTTGAAACCTGAAAAATGTTTTCACTTTCTGAAAGTTTTTTTCTCCTTAATAGCTATTCTACTAATAATTAAGTGCTTTGGTTTTCAAACATATTGTTTTTTATTTTTACAGGAGATAGGGACAGGTGGCACTTGTCAGTGGAAGATATGTGGACTCAGTCCCACTACAACCCTAGCCATATATTTTGAGGTTGTTAATCAGGTATGACTTTCTTTATTTGAATATTAAAAAGTAAACAAATACTTCATTTAGGCCATGAATATTTCATCTGAATTTTAGGATTGTTTTTTCTAGTTCTGTGAGGAATGTGTGTTTTGGTAGGGATTGCAATGAATCTGTAGATTGCTTTGGGTAGTGTAGACGTTCGAGCAATACTGATTGCTTTAATCTATGAGCACAGATGCCTTTTCATTTATTTGTGTTTTGTTTTTTATCAGTGTTTTATAATTTCCATTGTAGAGATCTTTCATCTCTTTAAACTTACTCATAGGCATTTTGTTTGTATCTATTGTAAATGGGATTGCCTTCTTGATTTCTCTTTCTTCCTTTTTTTGATGCTTCCAGGGATTGAATCCAGGGTCTTGCTTATGCTAGGCAAGCACTCCATGACTGAGCTACACCCCCAACCCTTGGTTCTTATTTCACATAATTTGCTTTTTGTGTATAGCAATGCCACTGATTTTTCGTTTTGTTATGTTTTTATTTTTTGAGACAGGGTCTCCCTGTGTAGTTTACTGTGTAGCCCAGGCTGGCCTTGAACTCATGATAATCCTCCTGCCTTAGCCTCCTTAGTGCTGGGATTATGGGCATGCAACACCATGCCTGGCCTGATTTTTTTGTATGTTGGTTTTTTTTTTTTTCTTTTTTGAGGTGCTGAGAATGGAACACAGGACCTTGCACATGCTAGGCAAGTTATCTATCATTGAGCTACATTCCCAGCTTTTTATGTTGGTTTTGTATCCTACAACGTTATTGAATTTATCAGTTCTAATAGTTTTTTGGTAGATTGTTTGGAGTTTTCTATGTAGAGGAAAGATCATGTCATTTGCAAACAGTGACAGTGTATTTCTTTCTCTTGCCTGAGTCCTCTGGCCAGGACTTCTAGTATTATGTTGAATAAAAGTGATGAAAATGAGCATCCTGTCTTATTCCCTATCCCAAGAAAGCTTTCAGCTTTTCCCCATTCAGTGTAATGTTAACTGTAGGGTGTTTGTGTATGACCTTTATTATGTTGAGGTTTCTTCTGTACCTAATTTATTCAGCCTTTTTATCATAAAAGGATGCAGAATTCTATCAAATGCCTTTTCTGCATCTATTGACAAATGATTTTTGTCCTCTATGTTTTATCGATATGTATCATTTTTATCCATTTGCTTATGTTGAACCAATCCATGAATTCCTGGGAAGAATCCACCTTGATCCTGATGAATAATCTTTTTAAGCTGCTGTTGAATTTGGTTTGCTTGTATTTTGTTGAGGATTTTTGCATCTGTGTTCATCAGGGATATTGACTTGTAGTTTTCTGGGGTTTTTTTTGTCCTTGTTTGGGTTTCATATCAAGATATACTGCTGGTCTGATAGAATGAGTTTGGAAGAATTCCTTCTTGAATTTTTAAAAATAATTTGAGAAGACCTATATTACTTATTTAAATATTTGATAGAATTTAACAGTGAAACTATCTGACCTTGGGTTTTTCTTTGATGAGAGACTTTAAATTTTAGAGTAAGTCTATTCATGCTAGAAAGTATGTAGTTCATGATTATATGACAGCAGCACAGTAGAGTTTAGTTTTTTAAAAAAATATTTCCACCCTGCCTTCCTTATTTTATTTTATTTATTTATTTTAGTCCGGGGGATCGAACTCAGGACCTTGCGCTTACAAGGCAGGCGCTGGAACCACTGAGCTGAATCCCTAGCCCCTAGTTTAGTTTTTACTCCTTTGTTTTTTTTTTTCTTTTGGTACCGGGGATCAAACTTGGGACCTTGTGCTTGCAAGGCAGGAGGTGGAACCACTGAGCTAAATCCCCAGCCCTACTCCTTTGTTTTTACACAGCACAATGCTCCAATTCCTCAAGGAGGACGCGGTGCAATCCAATTTGTGACCCAGTATCAGCATTCCAGTGGGCAGAGACGCATCCGAGTGACCACCATTGCTAGGAAGTAAGTTGTGTTTGTTAAAGATTTAATTCACATGTCAGGTCCTGCTACTGAGCTGGGTTCTTATTTTGGGTGACCTCTATGACTATGAACAGAGATCCAGTTTATTTGCTAGAATATTCATCGATAAGAACAGTGAGAGCACCAGACATGGTGGCACATGCCTATAATCACAGCACTCCGGAGGCTGAGGCTGGAGGATCCCCGCCAGTTTGAGGCCAGCCTGGACTACATAGCAAGACTGAAGAAAACCCAAAGTATTACAGCCTGGCACATTGGTGCAAACCTTTAGTCACAATTACTTGGAAGGCTGAGGCAGGAGGATCATGTGAGCTAAGACCAGCCCCTTGAACTCTTGTGAGTTCAAGACCAGCCTGGGAAACAGTGAAACCCTGTCTCAAAAACTAGTACCCCTCAAAAAAAATTAAAAAAAAAAAAAAGGCCTGGGGATTTAGCTCAGTGGCACTGTGCCTGCCTTGCAAGTACAAGGTCCTGAGTTCGATCTCCAGTACCAAAAAAAAAAAACAAAAACCAAAAAACTAGTACTCCTAAGACACTGTTCAAAATATTTTATCAGCACTCAGGAGGCTGAGGCAGGAGGATCATAAGTTCAAAAGCAGCCTGAGCTATATAGCGAGTTCAAGGCAGACCTAGGCTTCATAGTGAGTCTCAACACCAAAAAAGGAAAAACAAAAGAAAAATTTACCTCAGTCACATGAGAAAATCAAGTATTTTCCTTTATTGTGAAATTCACTACCTGTATATACTTAATGATATAGTGTAGTTTGCTTTTCAAATGATATTTTCATTTAGTTCATTTGTCTTTATCTAGCTTCTGCTTTGTGGACTGGGTACTGTTAGGAGAGGTTATGAATTCAAAAGGCTTGAGCATACTTGGTCTGCCATGTGATGGTATGGTATAGATCAGCCATTTCTGCTGCTTATTATTTCACTAAGCCAAGGTAATTTATACTTGTCAACCATCTGGAAAACATCTAAACGTTATTTGTCAAATGAAAGAAAATTAAAGATAGAGGAGGAAGAGGAGAAGAATTTTAAAGATGTTACTGCCTAAATTCCCTTGGGATCACTCTTACATCTAAAATTAGTTCAGTATTTATTTTCAGGAAGTCCATAAGTATTGCCAGTCATGTCAAAGTGAGGTACTTTAGAATTAGGATCAACAGTGGCCCCCCACCTGCCTCTCAAGTGCAAGGTCCTGAGTTGGATCCCTTTTACCAAAAAAAAAAAAAAAAAAAAAAGAATTAGGATCAACTGAAGTATTACAAAACTGTGTTTTTGAAATTTTAAATAAACAAACACTATTGTTGGGTCTACCCAGCAATAGTTTGACTGGACTGGCTTTATAGAACATACTGCTATGTTATGCATATCAAATTAATCCCTCAGATAAAATCATAACTTTTGATGGGTTTTAGTGAATGTATTAACAGAATAAAGAATACAGAGTAATTTAATTACGCTTTTTATCACTGATGATTGAAAGACCAAAGAGTCAGAAATTCTGATGTTTTATTAATTTTCCAGTTTAATAAATGAGAATTACGTAGACTGAGTGAAAACCTTTATTTTTGTATTTCCATTGTTCTGCTTTTATGCAGTTGAAGGAATTGAATTCTGAAGTCTGACACAGAGACTTGTGTATTTCTGTGTGTGGGTACACATACATATGCACAGTCCACAAAAACAGTACACACTTCAGCAGTTCGCCATACTAATAAATGTCTGGAAGCTCATGGCCACCACTTTGAGCACCTCTTGTAATTGTAGAGGCCAAAGGTAACTTGTGTTAATCTCATGATAGCTCAATAAATTTAGTATTAAAATATTTATACAAGTTTTTCTTTTCCTGCTGTATACATTTTTTTGGCAGACTCTGTACTATTAGTTCTCTTGTGAAAATCTTTTTTTTTTTTGGTACTGGGGATCAAACTCAGAACCTTGCACTTACAAGGCAGGCACAGGCACCACTGAGCTAAATCCCCAGCTCTAAAAAATCTTAATGCTTTAAAGAGTGTGGTGGGAGATATGCCTGTCCGAGTACTTAGAGAAGTACTTAGACAGTACCAAGTACTTAGAGAAATTTTTTTAGGTTTAGTTGTATTTTTCTGAAAAATAGTTAATGGTATGATGAAATAGTTATTAGCAACTTAAAAACATGCTAATTTGTCTAGGTGATATTGGAATTTTGAAGTATTGAAATAGTTTTCTGTATATTTTAAATTCAAATCTGTGTGGTAGCCAACTATGATATTGTGACTATTAGCAACACTTCTGTGCTTTCTTTTTTCTTTAGTTGGGCAGATGCTCAAACTCAAATCCAGAATATTGCTGCGTCCTTTGACCAGGAGGCAGCTGCCATTCTTATGGCTCGGCTGGCAATATATAGAGCAGAGATAGAGGAAGGGCCAGACGTGCTTAGATGGCTGGACCGACAGCTCATCAGGCTGGTGAGTAGCACTGTGCCTCTCCAAGCCTGTGTGCTTCCGTTTGCAGTAAGTGCTCGTTGTGGACAGTCTCTTTGGAAGTGCTTACCGTGTACTCGAAATACTGTATGAGGGACTCCTGTTCACATCACTGAGACAGTAGCAGAGTAACGCACAGAATCCAGTGATCACTTCCAGTGAACTAGAATGCCTTTTTCCTTAAAATGAAAGAATGGAAATATGTAACTTCTTATTTTTTGTTTATTTTGGCTGATATGAAATTAATTTGAAATTTAATTCTATATTACTGTAATGGTTCTTAGTGCTTTTTGGTGCTTTTCTCGATTTCTTTTCCTTTTTTTTCCTTCCTTCTTTCTTTTTTTTACTGCCTTGGGGATGGAACCCAGGGCCGCATGCATGCTAGACAAATGTTGTAAAACTATATCCCCAGCCCTGTATTTTTATATTGCTGTGGTTTTAGTTTCCTAGTTTTTATTTCAATGAAACTTTTTATTTTGTATGAATGTATAGACATCTTTTAAAAGAAATTAATTGGTATAAAAATATACATATACATATAAAATATAGATAGGTCTTGATTATTTGTATCTAGATTACCAAATGTATGCTAGTAAAATTATTGCTAATGTTAACATACCTTTTTTGTGTGTGTATATGGTGTCAGGAATTGAATCCGGGACCTTTGCACTGAGCTACATCCCCAGCCCTTTACATCTTTTTTTTTTTTTTTTAACATTTTGAGATAGGGTCTCCCTAAGTTGCTAAGTTGCCCAGACTAGGTTTGAGCTTCTAGTGCTCCTGTCTCAGCCTTTCAGAGTGCTGAGATTATAGGTGTGAGCTACTGTGGCCCACCTTTTTACTTGGGGTTTTGACATGTCAGGAGCCATGGTTTGTTAGGATCTAGAGGCTTTCCTAAACTCAATTCTTTTTGTTGTTTTTTCAGGGGATTGATCCAAGGGGTGCTCTACCACTGAGCCGCATCCCCAGTTCTTTTTTGTTTTTATTTCTAAGACGGTGTCTCACTGTGTTGCTCAGGCAGAATTTTACCTTGCAGTCTTCCTGCCTGAGCTTCCCTAAGTGCTGGGATTTCTGGTGTGGGACACTGTACTTGGCTTTAAACTTAGACCTTAATTCTCTGTTTTTAGTTAGCATAGTGTACCCTTTTATGTTCTTGAAAGTTCAAGTTCGTCTTTCACTTTTCAGTTCAAACACCTCATTGAAAACTTATAGAATGTAAGAGAGAGCTAACTGGTTTTTAAGCTATGGAATGGGTGGCTTTTTTGTTTCATGTAGTTTTATTCTTGAGTGAACAAATCTTTGTTTAGTAAAGTCAGTCATATTTGTAGCATTAATCAAAACTTATTTTTTTCCTATCTCATCTCCAAGAACTTTTTTATACCAGCATCTCTCTGCTTTCCATGTTAAGGTAATATTAGTGTATCTTTTTAAAGAAGTGAGATTTAACCTCTCATAGGATCAGCCATTGATGGGACACACTCAGCACGTTGCTCCCCAAATGGACCTTTAGTTTCCAGATAGGAAGATATATCATGAAGTGTACTTTGAGCTTTGCTTGTTTAGGGCAACAAAAAAGTTTCTTTTTGTAGCAGAAAAGCTTTCTTAAAATTTCACTGTCATTTAAAAATCTGACATGACACCTGTGAAACCTGCTATTCCTCAACCTGAATAGAGAAGCTATTATTTTTTTTAACCCTTTACACAGATCTCCTCAGCATTATGTGACGTGTCGTCATTGTTTTGACCTATTACACTGGTTTGAAGTGGAACCTTTTTTTTAAATTTTGGTGGTGCTGGGAACTGAACCTAGGGCCTTGTGCATGCAGAGCACCTGCTGTTCTACCACTGAGCTACCTCCCAGTCCTCTTAAACTGGAACTGTTTAGTTTCCCAGATTGCGTTTTGCCCTATCATTTTACTTACTATAATTTTACATGTTGGCCTTGCTAGGTTCTCACCAACCATGTAAATTTTTCTTTTCTGGGTAATAAGTTGTACTCTTTTGGTTTTTTTGAGACAGTGTCTCACTATGTAATTCAGGCTGGCCTTGAACTCACTGTGTAACCCAGGCTGGTCTTGAACTCACGGTGATCCTCCTGCCTCAGCCTCTTGAGTGCTGGGATTACAGATGCGCACCACCATGCCTGGCTATAAATTGCACGCTTAAGTAGCTTGCTTCCTTTTCATTGAAAGTGATTTTATCTTTACGAGTAGTCAGTCTGGTTTTTTTTTTTTCGGTACTGGGGATTGAACTCAGGATCTTTCATTTGCAAGGCAGGCACAGCACTGCTGAGCTAAATTCCTGGCCCTTTAAAGTGATTTTTATCTTAACAAATGCATTATTTTGAGATTCTAAAAGCTGTTTGAAGTACTTAGCACTTTTACTTGTCAAGTATCTATGATTTATAGTAAAGTGCTTGTATGACACAAAATTGAATAGTACACCTTGGATTATCAGCTTGTATAAAACTCCTAAGTACCTTTTCTAGTAAAGGTGGACTATTTCTGTGTCCCTTAATTGTATGAGGGCAGTGAAATGACTCAGAAGATGGTAAGTTTTTAGAAATCTCAGTAGGTGCAGGCTATTCTCATACTTCAACGTCAAAACTTTCAACATTGTTTGACATGCTTGCAAAACACAAACATTAGTAGAATAGAAAACAGAAGAGTCTGGTAAATAGCTAAATGAGACAATTGCAGAACTGCAGTGTAGCTCTCACTTGCATACTGTATATTTTGCGACATTGACAGCACCTGCGGGGCATTTGGGCTGAAGGTTGGGTGAGTTGTGGCAGAATGAAAATTTACCTGTGCTCTTCCTTCACTTCAGGAGAGTGTGTCTGCTACCACAGTCAGGTGGCAGCAGGAACAGGAGGCCCCTGCTAGCCGACTTCCATCCTGCTTCTTGGGTAAACTGTCACCAGTTCTGTGCCTCCTCCATCTGGGTCCAACTGAGAATGGAGTTACCCAAAGAAACAGAGTTGTGTTAGTCAGCTTTTTGAGATCATTGATTTTAAAGAGAAAATGTGTATTTCAGCTCATGCTTTTGGAAGTTTTGTTTCATAATCATTGGCCCTGTTGCTTTAGGTCTGTGGTGAGGCAGTGGATCTACCATGGCACAGAGAGTATTGGAGCAGAGCTGTTGGTCTCATGGCTAAGAACTGAGACAGAGAGAGGAGGAGTAAAGGATGGGGTTCCCCCAGTCCTCTTCAAAGAACCACTTCAAGAACTGACAGAGCTTCCAGTAGGCCCCATGTCTCAGTATCCGACAGCTCCCATTGTGCTCTGTGGCCTGGGGACCAAGCCTTGGAGGGGTGTATATGACCCAGTTTTAGTGTATGTGCTGCCAAAGCAAGCACAATGTGATCCAAACTGTAGGGCTGGGGATGTAGCTCAATGATAGGGCACCCGCTTAACATGCATAGGCTGTGGCTCAATCCCCAGGATGAAAAAAGAAAGATTCAAAGTGGACTACCATGCAGGACTGAAAGATTGCTATGGAAACTAGTGATAAAGACAGCTTGGTCGCTGTCTGTCTTGCACTTTGGCTGGCATCATATGATGTGCAAAGTTCAGTGACAGGATTTTAAAAATCACAACCTCTTGAGTTAGGTGGGGTAGTATGTGCCTGTAACTTCTGTATTCTGGGAGGCTGAGGCAGGAGGATAACAAATTCCAGCCTGGCCTGGGTAGTTTAGCAACTTAGTGAGAGTGAGAGCCCGTCTTTTAAAAAAAAGGACTGGAGTTATAGATCAGTGTAAAGACCCTGGGTTCAGTCTCTAGTACTGAAAAATAAAGGGGGCGGGGGCGGGACAAAAAATGAGCAGAGGTCATGATCAAGGAATTAAAGAAAGAATGCAAGTGACTATTAAACTTAATAAAGAGTTACTAATCTTGCTTAAATAGAACAAGACAGTTTTTATCTATTTTAAACTGGTAAGAATGAGAAGAACATGATAAGTGCTAGAGCTGGCCAGTATTCAGGGAAATGGACAGCTTTTAGTTTGAAAGTTTGGTGTATGAATCTGTACAGCTTTTATAAACGTCTCTATACCCAAACATGTAGGAAGAAATTGTTGACAACATCAAAGACTTTTAAAACTATCTTTTACTCGAAAATTCTACCTCTAAGAATTTATCCTAATGATACAACAGGACAAACGTAGATGCCAATAATGAGGGATTGGTTTGGATAGTTATGGTATATGTCAGCATAGCAGAATGCTAATCAGGTGTTAAAAATGAAGTAGCACTAGAGTATTTAATGACATCAAAGAACCGTTTCAAATAAAAGCAAGAACTTTGGACATAAGTAAATATTAGCTGGTGCATGCCTGTAATATCAGCTACTCAGCTGGCTGAGACGGGAGGGTCATGAGTTTGAAGCCAGCCTGGGTAACATAATGAGACTTTGTCTCAAAAAAAAAAAAAGTATCAAATACATCCTACATTGGGAAGTGGCCTTTTTTGTTTTTGTTTTTTGAGGCAAGGTCTCCCTTTGTAGTTCAGGTTGGCCCTGAACTCACCATGTAGTCCAGGTTGGCCTCAAACTCGCAGTGATCCTCCTGCCTCAGCCTCCCAAGTGCTGGGATTACAGGCATGTGCCTTCTTTTCCTTCCCTTCCCTCTCTTCCCTTCCCTCCCTTCCCTTCTCTCCCTCTCTCTCTCTCTCTCTCTCCTCTCTCTCTTGGGATTGAATTTAGGACCCTGTGCTTTTGAGGCAGGCACAGTGCCACTGAGCTAAATCCCCAGCCCTTTGTGTTCTTTCTTTACCAGATTGCCCATGGATCTCCTCAATTTTCTCCTTTTTTTTTTTTTTTTTTTTGGTATTTCTGGTGTATCAGATTTTTTAGCAGCAACTTCCTTTTGTACCTATTATGATATTTTGATATTATATCTTTCATCAGTTGGCTAATATCTTTTTTTGTGAAGTCTTAGGGAGCTCATGTTAAGCTTTTTGGGTCAATATTTAGGAATTCTTTATTTTTTCCAGAGCACTTAGTTAAAAAATCCAAACATTTAAGGGTAAGTTGTTATTGCACTGGGGCAAAGTAACATTTGCTTCTAAAATTTGGGTATTTTCTTTTGGTTGTAATCAGTCTGTTGCTAAGTCTATATATAATCTTCCAAAGGGAATACCTTATTTTGTTTTATTTAGTGTCAGAAATTTGGAGAATATCACAAAGATGATCCAAGTTCCTTCAGATTTTCAGAAACTTTCTCCCTTTATCCACAGGTAAGTAGATAAAAGGTCCATGTTGTTTTCTTGTGTTGCCAATAGCATTGGGTCTCATCTTTTCTGTTATTTATATTTTATTCACTTTATAGGACCTATTCTGTTGAGTTATTCTTTTGGTTATGCAAATTAGGGGATAACTTTGATGTTTATGCTGTGAATTCTTAGTGAAAAGTATATAGTATTTTCATAATTTGTCATTTATTTGTAGTAAATAGATATTTACTCTGAAACCTTACCATGAGTATCGTTAGGTGTAAGGCCGACTAGCTTTCCATCTAATAAACAAGGGTTCTAATTGCAGTGGACTAGAAAGACTTCATATGTGATAATTTTAGTCTTACATCAAGTTATCACCTGAGAACAGTTTTATGAGGCCATACCAGCTCAATAGAAAGGAACTAATTTTATTTACCTTATAGAATGTTTTTCACTGGGAGCAGGGGACTCTATCCCTTTATCTGTCAGTTTATTAGATTATTTATTTTTTAAAGTTTATTAGATTTATTAAAAGCCTTGTTTTTTTACATAATAAGTAAGAGATAACATTTATTTAGTGAGTACAACGTGCAGGGGACCTTAGGAGGATAAAAATGATGATGTAGATGCTGCTTTAAAAAGCTTCAGACCCAAGGGTGAGATCTGAGACAATCCGAACAATGCAGAAGAGAAAGTGAAAAATGCTTTGAAAGGTATACAAAATCTAAAGAAAGCTTTTCAGGTGGATGGTTTGATACATCTTTTTTTACAGGAGTTGGCATTTTAGATCAGTTTAGAGGGATGATTAGTGCTGAGATGTGGAAATTCAAGTTTTTGCCCATAAAAACTTTGTCTAAAACTTCAGCTTTCATTTTAGAGCATTCATTCATTCAAATCCTTATTGATCTGTAATCTATAAACTTCATTTTTATATAGGGAGATGTCAACAGACTTCTAATGAGGTCTGGAGAGCCAGGGTCTGTTTATTTTAAGCCATGCAAAATTCTGTTTTGGGAATTTTGAGGCCTCATCTTTGTAGAGAAGCTAATAGTAAAAAGCACAAAAGGCATTAGCGTGAGTATTTGACTGAATTCCTCACACTTTCCTGTTTTTCTTCTCTGTTCCTTAGATTTGAGCACCTGGGTTTTTGTCCCTATTTTTTTTTTTTTAATTGCCTCTTGATTTTATTCTTGTTATAGGATTATATTTTTAAGCTGCTGATAAATATGAACAAGGTTCCTTTCTGGAGAATACACTTTTAAATATTCTTATAACTTGTTTTATTGTGTTAATACATAGTTGTAATCAAATGCTTTTGTTAATAGTAAACTCCTATAGTAATATTAAAATCAATAAAAGCCTTCTTACATGTTTTATCTTGCAGTTTATGTTTCATTTAAGAAGATCTCCTTTCTTGCAAATTTTTAATAACAGTCCTGATGAGAGTTCATATTATCGTCACCATTTTATGCGTCAAGATCTGACCCAGTCTCTAATCATGATTCAGCCTATTCTGTATGCATATTCTTTTAGTGGACCACCGGAGGTAAGAGAAGCAGGAAAAAAGTTGATTGGTCTTGTTACTGTTTGAGTAGCATTAAAAAAGCAAAAGTAACTAAGTTCTTTTTGGTAATATAGTTGTTGAATTTAAGAATTTATTGAATGAATCATTATCTCAAGTTGTTCATGTATTCACTTACATTTATGAGTACTTTTTAATACTAGGTATCATTATATTAGAAAATCATTAAAAATATGGTAGGAGAGACTTTTAGATCATTTTGTCTAACTATTTGGTCTGTCAAATCCTCTAGCATGTATGATTATTTATGTCTTTAACAATTTCCAGAAGTGATTATGATTCTATAGTATGTAGCTTATTTCAGAGTTTAGTATCTGATAGTTACAACAACCTTTCTAAACAAAGTCTCTTGTTTTAACATAATCTCATTTTCCTTTAGTCCTTTGAGAATATAAGATGTATAAAATGTGATTCAACAACTTGGCTCAGTAATCTGTCAACATCATCTGCCTAGTGAAGGTTCTGTCCTCGAAAACCTTTTTCTCCTGGCTCTCTGGCACCTGGTGTTCCTGCTGGGTTTCCTCCTACTAATGGAGGTTTCCTTCTCAGTCTTCTTTGTAGAGCTCTAAGTATTGGCACACCACGGAGTTCAGCCTGGGGCTTCCTTCCTCCATCTCTCTAAGTGATGCAGTCTAACCCCATAATTAATTGCCATTTTTGTGCCTGTGATCCCCAAGTTTATGCCCTCAGTCCAGGTCACCCTGTTGCATTCATATGGCAAACTGTTTCCCACGTGCCCTAAATTTGCTGTCCCAAGCCTCTCCCAGCTCACTCAGTGCTGCCTCCATCGAGTCACCTTTGATTCTTCCTGTCTCTGTTTTTTAAATTGTTTTTTAAATTTAATTTAAATTAAAATATACTGTGAGAATTCATAAAAGCAAGAGATTTTAATTGTAAAACTAAAATTCAGAAGATTTCCTGGAAAGATCTGTTTTGTGTTGTTATGTAGTTTATTTTTCCTCATTTCTCACTGTTTTCTTCCCGGCAGCCAGTTCTCCTGGATAGCAGCAGCATTCTTGCAGATCGCATTCTTCTCATGGACACATTCTTCCAGATTTTGATCTATCACGGTGAGGTAAGATTCTGTAGGATTTAAACCAGTGCATGGAAAGTCTTTTTCACTCACGGAAGTTCCCCCTGTATGATATGGCTAGTGTTTGGGTGCTGATAAACCTGGATTTAGGTTGAACCTCCCTAATCCAATATTCCAAAATCCAAGGTACCCCAAACTCCAAAACTTTTTGAGCACCAATACGACACCACAAATAGAAAATTCCACACCATGAAACTTGTTTCATGTTCAAAATTATTAAAAAATAGTTTATAAAATTACCTTCAGGCTATGTGTATAAGAATTATATGAAATGTAACTTTTGTGTTTACATTTAAGTCCTGTCCACAAGGTATCTCATCATGTATATATGCACATTTTCCAAAATCCAGAGATACCAAAATCTTTAATACTTTTGGTCCCAAACATTTTGGATAAGAAATACTTGACCCAGGGCCAGGAATGTAGCTCATTGGTGCCGCACCTGCCTGGCAAGCACAAGGTCCTGAGTTCAATCACAGTACCAAAACAAAAAACAAAAAAACAAAAAACAAAAACTTGACCTGTATGTATAAAATGTCATTCTTCCTAGTATAGGTTTTTAGGCTTCAATTGCAGTTTTGTTCATTTGTCAAGACACAACTGGACAAATGGATTTTACACAAGGCACGCTGTTATGAAAGTGAATGCATTGACATTTACATAGAATAGACATATTGCCTTTAAAGTAATTATCTCAACCAGGGTGCTCTTAAACTCCTGGGTTCAATTGATCCTCCTGCCACAGTCTTCCTGGCATGCATCACTATGCCTGGCTTTGTTTTACTTTTAAAGATGGAGGAAATCCTAATTTGTATCTATTTACTTAAAAATATTTTCTCTTGAAATTAGTATTTGTAAAAATTGAGATTTTTTTTCAATAATTTTATTTTTGTAGAGATTACTTTCTTTGAAAAAATATCTTAGGATTTTTAGGTGAGCAAGCCAGCAATTTAAAATAATTTCTTGAACTGTTTTAAAATTAGACCATAGCACAGTGGCGGAAGTCGGGGTATCAGGACATGCCGGAGTACGAGAATTTCCGGCACCTTCTTCAGGCCCCGGTGGATGACGCGCAGGAGATCCTGCACTCGAGGTTCCCGATGCCGCGGTACATCGACACCGAGCACGGCGGCAGTCAGGTCTGTAGCCCGCGTGCTTGTGTGGGGATGCACCCTCTGGGTCTTTCTTCTCCTTTTCTGACTTTAATCTGACTGGATTGCTCCTTATGTAAAGGAAGGGCAAGGGAAGGAAACGGGCGTGGATGGGATCCAGGGCTTGCTTTTACTGAGGCTTTCAGAGCAAACCAGTGACATTGTGCTGCTGCTTCCTGCGTTCTGCTGCAGCTCAGCCCTGGCGGCACCAGCCTTACTGAGCAGGGAACAGCCTGGGAAGTGGAGCTGTGCACTTCCCTACCTCCTGTTGTTTACTGGTAAAGTCTGTGACTGCTAAGTTTGTGGTTACTCACTTTTTTCTCTTTTCCCTCATTCTGCTGTTCCAGTTTTCTACAAAATAGATTGAAATGTTAAAGGAAAGCGTTGTGGTATTACAAAAGACTTAGGGGGTTTTTCAAACTATGAGGATCAAATGAGGTACATGCATGTGCACCTCTCCCTTTAAAGCCTTCAGAAGGTTAGGTCAGGTGCTTTCGTGTGCGTTCAGACAGCACTTCCTGCTACTCACTTATAATTCTAATCAGTTACCGTAAGTTAAGTATAAGTTGTTATAGGTTTATTTCACTTGCTGCTTAAAGGCAGGTTAGTTTGTTTACTACTGTATTCCTAGTGTCTAGTGCAGTTACTCAGAAATGACAATTTTATTAGGGTTTTACTGTACTTACAGCATGTATTAAGAATTTGCAAGGCCCTTTACTCTCTTTATTTCCTCTGATCCTGAGAATTCTGTTGTTATCTGTATTTTGTAGGTGATAAAACTGGGACTTAGGTGCCTTGTGGCCAAATAAGCCCAGCAAATGAAGGAGCTGGGATTTGAAACCTGGTCTTCTGACCTCAGGGACCAACCTTTTGAGTATTAATTAAATTGTTTACTTAGAGAGTAGAAAATATTTTGTATGATATTAATCTTCAAAAGATAAGACTGCCTATGTTATTCTGGTATGAGTTTAAAATTACAATGTATTCTTTTATTGATTCTCACTGTATATATTGCTATTTTCCTCATTTATTGTTTTGATAATGATAAGTCATGTTGGTAGATGGCTAAAATATTGGCTAAATTATCTCATGGAATCACCCATGGTTTAAAAAGTTTGAGAGTCATTGTTTAAAAAAAATGTAAATTTTTGTGGTTTTTAAAAACGTGTCATTTTATGGAACTTTGAATTTATGATATTTCAGGCTGCTTTGGAATAATTGTAATCTTGCACAAACTCTGTCATAGTTTCTGCACACACTTTTTGGGGGTCCTGGGGACTTCATATTGAGCTATATCTCCCTCCTCCCCACCACCTCCCTTTTTAAAAAATTTGAGATGGGGTCTTACTAAGTCACTAAATTGCCTAGGCTGGTTTGAACTTGTGATTCCCCCTGCCTCAGGTTCCCAGAGTGCTGGGATTACAGGCATGTACCGCCGTGCTGGGCTGCACACACAATTTTTATACACTGAGTTTTATATTAAAATGCATTGTGTGTTATTATTTAGGTTATAGATATGTGATTTGGAGAGAAGAGGGTGCATTTATTTTCTTTTTCTTTGTTTTGAGACAGGGTCTCACTATGTAGTTTCAGCTGACCTTGAACTCACTATGTGACCCAGGCTGGCCTTGAATTCACAGCAATCCTCCTGCCTCAGTTTCCCAGAATGCTGAGATTACAGGCATGTGCCACCATGCCTGGCTGCACACACAAGTTTTATATACTGAGTTTTGTATTAAAAATGCATTGTTTGTTATTACGCAGATAATAGATATTTGATTTGGAGAGAAGAGGGTACATTTGTTTTTTCTTTTCTTTCTTCTTTTTTTTTTTTGAGCAAGGTCTCACTATGTAGCCCAGGCTGGCCTTAAATTCATTACCAGTCCTCCTACCTCAGCTTTCTGAGTGCTAGGATTATAGGTGTGTGCCATCATGCAGGTGGTGCATTTATTATCACAGTGGCCTACACATTTGAAAACTTAATCTTCTTAAATGTTACATTTTAATAAAATTAATTTTACTAACATCAAATTTATTTCAGAAAGTATGTATTTATTCAGCTTATTTACTAAATCCATTTCTGATGGTTAATGCTATTTATTTTTTGCTTTTAAGGCCCGTTTCCTGCTTTCCAAAGTCAACCCTTCACAGACTCATAATAATATGTATGCCTGGGGGCAGGTAAGTGTAAATAACAGTCTTGGAAATTATTTCTGTCTGTTTTCATGGTTTATTTTTCTGAAGGCTGTGTTTTTTCCTGTGTATTTAGTGATGATTTCTGTTGGAAAAGTAATGAAAAAATAAGAGTAGAAAATAGAATTACTATTTGGTGGCACCATAGAAAATAAAAAAGCAATCCTATCAAATAGACAGAACTCCTTCTTATTGCAAGTTTAACACCTTACCCTTGAGACAAAAAGTAATAAAGTATATAAGATGGGAAGTGATGATTTAAGCTTAATGTGAGGCTGTGAACCAGAAAAGACTAATAAGCCAGGAGAGGCCAGGGACTGTAGTGGAGCAGAAAAGCAGGAAGCTTGCAAGTCATTATTGACAACTTTAATTTGGTAGAAATCTTAGCTCCTGATGTAACACCTCAGCATTTATCAAATGTCTAATATGTGCTGGACTCTATGTTGGTGCTTTAGGATATGCATTTGTCACTCTTGCCTTTGAAGAGCTTGTGGTCTAGTGTTAGAGATAAGATGCATATGTATATGTAAGTAAAGTGCAAATGCAAGAATATGGTCAATGTGCCTGAAGTATAAAATATTACAGGGATTAGAAAAAAAATGGAAGCGGTCACATTGAGTGTGTGTGGTAAAAGAGCTCAGGGAAAAGGCATGTTTAGTTTGGAGAATGGTTATTATTTCAATAAGAAATTGCATGAGAAAGGGAATTCTAGCTAGAGGACAGTATGGGCTAAGATAATGGCCTATATGTACAGATGAACAGTAGAACATGCATAGAACATGGAAATGTGTTACATGTCTAGATCATAGAAGATCTCGAATGCCAGGTTGAAGACTGGGAGGTTCTCTTTACTTGGTAATGGAGAGTTGTTGAAGGTTTTTGGACCGAGGTTCAAATTACAATCTTAGATTGTATTGTTTTTGAATCTTTTTTTGAGACAAGGTCTTGCTTTGTAGTTCAGGCTGGGCTTGGACTTGCAATCCTTCTGCCTCACCCTCCCAGAATGCTAGGATAACTGGCATGCCCTACCACACTCAGCAGTATAGTTGAATTTTAAGATTAAGTGGGAGACATCTGTAGACTGAAATTATGTTTACTGAAGTAATGGAAATAAGGGGGAATGAATGCAAGATGGTGAAAAAGAATAGGTTTTGGGAAATTCAAAAGCAAATTCATTGGAACTCAACTGGGAGTTGTAGGTAAGTATATTAGTCCAAGATGTGAAAGCTACATACAAATCTCAACTCTGATTGGATCCTTCATTAGGGGGAGAGAATAGATTATAGGGAATTATGGGGAAGTAAAGAAGTGGACTTTATAAATATAAATGATTCTTTTGTAAATTTAGCCTGAGAATATAATAATATGATAGAAGGATGATTGTTTTTAGGGTAAAAGCACAGAATTTACTTATAGGGCAAGTATAAGGAAACAATATGGGGAAGGAAAAGAACAAGAAAGAAAGAAAACAGATATTTTAAATCCTCGGAAGGAGACAATGTGATTAAGACTACCTGGAACTTAAGCATTGGTGAGGAGGCAGAACATTACTTATGGTAAAAGCAAAACGTGAGAACAATGGCAAAGAAAAAGATTTTGAGATAGAGACGCTCACATATATTTGAATACTTTTTTTTCAGTAATAGATTATTTGCTAACGTGAAAGGCTGAGGTAAAGGACTAGAAAACAGAGATTAAAAACAGCTATCATGAATATAAGAAATCAGCAAGAGATTAAAAAAAATGGCTTTTACAGCAGTGCTGAGCCCCCTGCCCGCCTGTTTTCAAAGTTTTGCTGTATAGATCAGGGTGGCCTTAAACTCACTGTGTAGCCCCAGGCTGGCCTTGAACTTCCAGGGATCTTGCTTCAGCCTTCTGAGAGCTGGGACTACAGGTGTGCGCCACTGTACCCAGCTGAGAAGTCCATTTTATTTACTAGGAATTTTAGAAGCATGCTTCCATAATGTTCTTTACCATGCTCTGTAGTTCAGGCACTAGAGCAAAGATGAAACATTTTGGTGGTAATTTAGGATGAGCTTGATAAAGAGGACACTTTAGAAAACAGGTAGAATAATTTTAGATGAGTGTTAATTGGCTAAGTGTGGGGTCCAGGCTAGGTAGAAGGGCCTGTGTGTATGGGAGGCAAGTACTTCGCCCTGAGCTACGCCCTCCATCTCTCACCACTGTCTGATTCCTAAGGCTTGAAACTTTAATCATGTACAGTGTCTCCCTTCTGCCCTGATGACTCACACATTTTCCCTATTCCCTCTACCTCCCTCCCGTGTCACTAGCCAGAGTCATGTCCTTATTACTTTCACATGGACTGTGGAGCCCGGCTGGCTGCTCTGGGACTTCAGCTCTTCTCTGTTTTGGCAGTGGCCAGATTAGTCTCCATCATGCTGTAGTCTTGCAAGTGAGCTCTGAAATCTTCAGTAACTCTGACTGAATTCTGTACAAATCCTTTCTGGTGGGATCGAGGGTCCTTTCTTGTATGACCCAAATATATTTTTCTACTGTTAGCCGCTGCTTAGATCTTTTGGCCAAATTGGACGTCTTACTCTACTTCAAACACACTGAGCATCTTCCCATCTTCGTGGCTGGAATTCTGTAATGAAAAATGTGATTTAATTCATGGACCAAATACTTCTTGGAAATGATGACTTCTTGTTTGTGAGTTAAAATGATAACATGGAAGGGTAGTTGGGAGGCTTTGAAAGAATGAGCTCGCTAAGTTGGTAAATGTGGAGAAATATCATTTCAGGCCGATAGTTTAGACTGCAGACTCTGCAAGTTGCTTCTCTCTGCCCTTACTACTTTGCCTACAAAGTTTAATACGTGCTTGATATAGATAGTAATGCTCAGTAAATATTACCTGTTTTCACTGGAAAAAAGTCTCTCCCTGAAGATGTCTAACATAAATTTATTTTAAACTTTGGAGTTTAATTATTGTTGCCTGGAAGTAGGGCATTAGAGGCATTAACAAGAGCCCGAAGACCTTTCTTGATTCATGCTTTTTATAAAAGAAATTATGTTAATATTTTCATAATCATAATAACTGATAAGTTGAATCTGTACTATTTTAGTCCCAATGCTAAGATTTTTAATTGTGAAAAACTTCTATGAGGTGTACATTATTTATCCATTTTTTAGAAAAGGAAATTAAGGTTTATATAGGTTAAGTAACTTACCCGAGATCACACAGCTCAATTGTGGCAGGCCCTGATTTTAACCCAGGCCTGATTCCACATTCTGAGTTTTTAATCATTAATTTGATGATGGCCGTTAACTTAGTAGCCAAGGGAATTAACTTAGTGTGATTTTTTTTTTTTTTTTTTTTGGTACCAGGGATTGAACTCAGGTCTTTGTGCTTGCGAGGCAAGCGGCAGAACCACTAAGCCAAATCCCTGGCCCTGGGAATTAACTTAGTACACAAGCATTTTATTTACTAAAAATTAATGGGATCCAATTTTCTTAGTTTTCTTTTTATCAGAAATCCACAGCCCAATCAATGTATTATCTGTGAATAGCCTGAAGAGGGCACCACTGTAACACTGCTTCTGTAATTAAGTGAGAAAGTTTGGACCTTTCTGCCTAATCCTGGATATATATTTTAGGGACAAAAAAAGGCCTATTTGAAAAGTTGAGATTAATTAACTGCAATAAATTTGATTTGGGCATTAGTATTTGTAGTTTCAAATAAGATCTCTGTTGAATGTAAATTAGGCAAGCCATATCTATTTTGTCTTCATCAGAATAAATAGATGTGGGTTTGGGTGAATTGAGGTGGAAAACACATAAAATGAAAAAAAAAATCAGGTACAGTCACAGGAAGAAAAACAGCAAGAGTCACCAGTTTATTATTGGGTTAGGTTAGTTTTGAGACCTGTCCTTGTCTATGGTAACTGTATATGTAAAATAAAGAGAAATATTTCAGTGTTACAAAATAATAGATTTTTCAAAACAATTAATAACGAAGAGCTACTGTACGCCTTCCATGTGTGCCAGGTATTGTTCTGTTTGCTTTTTTCTACTTGACTCTCTGAATTGTGGAACTCTGGGATAAATCCTGTTGTCCTTATTCAGACAGGAGAGCTGAGGCGCAGGTTCAGTAGCTTCCTCAGAGACGCATGAGTAGTCAGTGGCAGAGCCTGAGCTGGAGCCCAGGTGCCTGCCCTGACTCCATGTCTGTAATCCCAGCTCTACTCCCTCCATCACCAGGTTTCCCAAGTTATTATGATTTAGTGTGACAGATAATTTTCTCTTGTTCGGAAGAGGTTCCACATGTCTGGGTGCTATGTCAGATCAGATCCACAGCATCCTCACACTTCTTGTACATAGTTTCCATTTTCGAACTATTTCTATTTATTAATAAATGGAATTTGAGTATCAAAGGAAAAAATTTGAAGTTCAGGTATAAAATCTAGAAATACTTTCTCTTGCTCTAGGAAAATTTCAACTGGGCATGGTGGTGCATGCCTATAATCCCGGCACTTGGGAGGCTGAGGCAGGAGGATCACTGCAATTTCAAGCCCAGCCTGAACTACATAGCGAGATCCTGTCTCAGAATAAAAATTTCATTGTGTATGGATTAGGTATCAAGATCATTTTGTCAATACAGTTTTCAGTACATGTGCTGCTGAAGCGAGTGCTTATTAATACAGTTTTGATTAAAATGGATATTAGGAATTTCCCCTAACTCTTACTAATTACTAAAACCTGCAGAGATAAATTAAAGACTTGAAAACTTGACAAGCATAGTAAATGATATCGTGAATTTACATCCTTTCAGTGGGATTTCTGTTGAAATGGCAGGAGGAGGGTCAGGCTGTCTTAAGCCCAGGTCAGGCTGTCTTAATTGTTCACTGGTCTCGTAACGAGTCCCATCCTGAGACACCTCATCTTCTAGCAGAACCTCAGAGGTGATGGGAGCAGCCCGAGAGGAACAAAGACATAGTCCTGTTACTCAGGGAAGTCTACGTATTTAGGTAGAACTTCCTCCAAGGAATCAGGATCTTAGATGTTATTTCTGCTTAAAGTGATTTCCTTGTCTGTTTTAAACATAGCTCATACATTGATTATGTATTCCAAGGTATCACCCTATGTTTTAATCACAGTGAATACTTCTTTTTTCCTTTAGGAGTCTGGAGCACCTATTCTCACAGATGATGTTAGTTTGCAAGTATTTATGGATCACCTGAAGAAACTTGCTGTGTCAAGTGCTGCTTGACATGCTCAGCGTGTTCAGGACACTTAAGATGAAATAATATCTCAACTTCAGTTTTTCTTTATTCAATTTTTTCTTTTCTTTTCTTTCTTTCTTTCTTTTTTTTTTTGAGACAAGGTTTGCCTCTGTAGCTCAGGCTGGCCTTGAACTTGCTGTGTAGCCCAGGCTGGCCTTGAACATATGATCCTCCTGCCTCAGCCTCCTGAGTACTGGGATTACAGGTGTGCACCACCATGCCCAGCTCCTTTTTCAGTTTATCTGTGGAAACCGACAGAGATATCTCAAAACTTTTTTTTGGTGTCAGTATGATTTGAGATGACATGCAAAAAAAGTTCGCGTTTGTAGAGTAAGCTGAAGTATAATGAGAGCAATGAGAACAAATTTGTTTTATTTGCCACAGTATTAAAACTGGTTTTAGAAATTTGAGTTCTATATAACTTATGTTTAAGAGTAAGATCTGTCTGCCTTGTACTACAGATATAACTTACCTTGTATATTGCAGACAAATCAAAAGTGGCACTGAATGTCCTCCTGACCTTTTAAAACCTATTCAATTTTAGCCAGAAAGGAACAAATCAATAGTGGTAAATGTGAACATTTTTGCATATTTGCTGACTATTTTTCTGTGATTTTTCAGCACTTATGTATGCCCTTGTTTTGTGCTTGCTCTGTTGAAGTGGATTTATTTTTATGATTTGTTTGAAATTATCTGACTTTATAATGGTAATTTTCATAAAGATAATATCATGTTTTTTGTTTATTTGGAAAAATTGTTTAGAGATGAAGAAATATTTGGGGCAGGGATGATAATCCCACAACTGACAGTAAATGTGAAATTCTTACTAAGTACCCGGTTTATGTGACTAACTACAACACTTTTTTTTTTAAAGAAAAGATTGCTAGAAAATAAAGCATTTTGTCACAGTACATAAAGAAAGCCTTTGCAGTAAAATGAAAATTGTAACTGCTAAACCAAAATTGGTTTTCATTACATTATTTTGATGTCTCCCCTTTTTCTGAGGTAAATTTTACATTATATCCTTCAGTATTTTAACACTATATTGGGAGCCTACACAGTTCCTTTTTCCTCCTGCTTCCTTTTTTATGAAATTTATTAAGATTCTTATTGAAACAGTATTATGTAATGTTTGTTTAATTGTGTCATGTGATACACAGTTTTATTTTGATTTATTCATTGATAATCATTCACTTTTATGTTCTAAGGTTTACTTGTAGCAAATATGTTTACATTGCTAAGGCCAGATATGATTTGACAATAAAATTCACATATCAAGTGCTGAAATGAAAGGTGGTGCTCTGATACATGATTAGAGAGACAGTTTTGATGATTGTACTCACATGAACACAATCACAGGATGGTAAAACAGAAACTTGTAATTATTTATATTATATTCATTTAGTTTAACTTTGTTCCATCGTATTTGAATTGAACTGTGCTAGGCCAAAATGCCAATAAAATACGCTCTTCTCTGATTTTCTGGTTATTTTTGAATACTACTAAAGCTTGAGAAACCCAATGTAAAATTTAGAGCATTTAAACTTTTTTGGATTGACACATAATTGTACATATTTGCAGGGCACAACGTGATAATTTGATATATGAATACAATATGTCGTGATCAAATGGGGTAATTAGCATTTTCATGGCCTTAAACATGTATTATTTCTTTGTGTTGGCAGTCTTCAGGCTCCTGTCTTCTGTTTCTTTATAAAATATGTAGTTGTTGTAGCTATAGACACCCTACAGTGCTATAGGAACCTAGAACTCACTCCCGTATCCAACTGTGTTTAGTGCCTGTTGTCTGACCTCCCTCTGTCCTTCCTAGTTTCTAGTGACAACAGTTCTACTCTAATTCCTCAAAATCAGCTTTTTCTCACGTGAGAGTGAGAATATGTGGTCTTCTCATCCTTGCTTGGTTTATTTTACTTAAAATAATGTCCTCCAGTTCCATCCATTGCTGCAAATGATAGGATTTCATTTTTTTAATGGATGGAATTCCATTAAATATATATGCACAGGGACCGGGGATTTAGCTCAGTGGTTTCACCACCTGCTGTGCAAGTGCAAGGACCTGAGTTCAATCCCCAGTACAAAAAAAAAAAAATACATATATATATATATATGCACATGCATGCATAACACATAAAATTAGAGCATTTAAAATCTGCTATTAGTTTAAAAAGTTACTCATTTTAAAAATGTTTGTTGAGATATAATTCATATATCATACCATGGTAGACTGCAATATTGATTATGGCCAAAGCAGGCTGTAGGCAGTGCAGGCTGTGAAGAGGTAACCCCACAGTTGGCTTGTTTACAGAAGTGAGACTGGCTGAAGCCTACTTGCTGAGGTCAGAGTAACTTGCACCCAAATTCCATTCCCACAATTAAAACCTTCTTAACTAGAAGGACAATGTTCTTATTACAACCATATATTTTGTCTATTCTGTTCCTAATTCAAGAATGCTTGGTCTTTTTTTTTTTTTGGTACTGGGGATTGAACTTGGGTTCTTGCACTTGCGCAGCAGGCGGCGAAACCACTGAGCTAAATCCCCGGCCCTTGGTCTTGTCTTTTATGAGCCTTGCTTACATTAATTTCCATAGAAACTGCACGACTGTGTATCTTCTTATCCATTCCCACCCTTGTAGCTCACCTTTAACCTAATTACCAATGAAAATCAGTGGCTTAGATTGGCCAGTGCCTTTGTCAGTTGAACCAGCAGTGGTCATCCTGGTGTCCTGCTTTCTGTCTCTCTTAGTTTTGTCTTTTAGTTGTTTTTTTTCTTCTCAGACCTGCATCATACACTGAGTAGGAGACTGGAGCCTCCTGCAGAGGTTTCCAGTAACATTTCAGGGCTCCCCAGTATATCATACAAGTTAAGTCATTTAAAGTGTATAATTCAATAGCATTGAATATTTTTATGGGGTTCTGTAACCAATAACACAATTTTGGAGCATTTTTATCACCCTCAACTATTCATTTTTTTCTGTAAGCCAAGTACATTTTGGGGTTTATGTTTTGGATTGAGGGAAGACCCAGTCTCATTTGTTTCTTCTGTTGAGTAGTAAGATGGTATTTATCCTGAACCTGGCCTTTGCTCCTAAATCAATTACAGCTGGAGGTGCTGAAGTGCTTCTTGTACTTAAGTGCTTCTGTACTTTTTAGCTCACCATTTAAAAGAAGTTACTCTAGATCATTTTTGTGTGTAATTTAATTATTAGTAAATTACTAGCCATTTAGTAGACTGTTAAGAAATGTTTAACCTTTTGTCTTAGTCTTAGGGGCTAAGAAGTCAAGACCAAGGTGCCAACAGAGTGGGTGCTGGTGAGGGCTCCCTGCTTCACAGATGACACCTTGCTGTATCCTCATGTGGAAGGAAGGGGCAAGGGGTTTGCCAGTTTCCTCAGGCCTCTTTTATAAGGCCACTAATCTCATTGATGAGGGCAGACCTCTTATCTCCTAATCACCTAAAAACTCCACTGTTTCCTTCCTTCCTTCCTTCCTTCCTTCCTTCCTTCCTTTTCTTTACTTACTTTCTTTATTTTATTTGATTTTATTTTTTGAGACAGAGTCTCACTATATTGTCTAGGCTGGGCTTGAATTTGCGTTCCTTCATGCCTCAGCCTTCCAAGTGTTGGGGTTATAGGATGTGTCACCGTACTAGCAAAACCTCTCTTCTTAATACCACATTGGAGATTAAGTTTCAGCATATGAATTTTGAAGAGATCTAAACATTCAGACCGTAGCATTCGTTAAAGAATTAGGGTGCATAAAAATATCTTCCAAATTAAGAGTTAAAGGTACCATATTATAGTTTTACCTGCATATTCTTGTATATAGCAGCACAATTCATAATACCTGAATACTGGAAGCAGTTTATATGTCCCTCAGCAGATAAATGGATAAAGAATATGTGGTATTTCCCCCACACAATGGAGCAGTACCCTGCTATATAGAAAAGTAAACTTGAAGCATGTGTAGGAAAATGGATGCACATTGACCATAATGTTAAGTGAAATAAATCTGACTCACAGGCTTAAATATTGCATTGTTTCTCTTATATGAGAAACCCAAATTATAAATAAAGAGCAAATAAAAGAAAATAGAAAATAGGGAGATAGATCTCAAATGGGAAGGGTATAAGGAGATGGAGAAGAGGGGTAAGGGAGGGAAGGGAAGGTGGATGAAAAAAAATTAAGATGCATTACATACATGTACCAGCTCCACACAAGGAATGTAAATGTTATTACTACAAACATGTTCTAATAAAAAATCACTACCAGCAGTGAGAGGCTTTGGTATATTACCCAGAACTATTTTGGAATTCACTCTTTTTTTTTTTTTGTGGTACTGAGGACTGAACTTGGTTCCTTGCGCTTGCACAGCAGGCTGCAAAACCACTGAGCTAAATCCCTGGGCCTGGAATTCACTCTTGAACCTACCACTTCTATTGGCCTTGTCTCTAACTATGACCTTAACTTCATCTATCTATACTGATAATTCAGTGTAATATGATAAAAAATATTCTTGAGCCCACTGTAGATAGGCAGGTCTGTGCATGCCCTACCGAGGTCGCGAGTCACGCGGAACACGCTGAATCAGCCCACGCCCCAGCAAAAATCCACTGGACACCGTCCCAACCCCTGCTCCTCTCTACAGCCACCTGGTTCCACACTACAAAGATGCAGAGGACACTGGACCACCAGACCACGGTACTGAGTCCTGCCGCTCCTGGCCCAGAGGTAGAGGCTTCTGAGCTGCCGTCCCACTGCTCCTGGTCCAGAGGAAGGGGCTTCCCAGCCACCATCCCTCCCGCTGCTTCCAGCCCAAAGGAAAGGGCTTTTGGGCCACAATCCCTACCGCTGCTCCCGGCCCCTGTCCCACCTCTCCCAGCTCAGAGGAGGTAATCCGTGTAGGAGCCAACAGCACGCCCCCCCCAGTCGAAATGAGAAAACATGTAAATAAGTCTCAAAACCAGACTTCCAGATCACCTACAGCAACCCCAAAGGGAAATGAGATGGAAC